TAAATTAGGGCTTGTAACGACTTTAACTGTTTTTAACACAGATGTAAATAATCCTGGAGCTTACTATAAGCATGTACGTATATTTTTAAAGAATCAAAGGGCTGCAAGATCTTTGCAATCTAAATCGTACTGTATATCTGTATGTATTTACCTGTATAAGTTTATTTTTATGTATTATAATTCATTTTGCAAGGCACCAGAGTTTGATACATACGGAATTCTGCATAACTAGAGTTGCATCAAAATATCATTTATGTTCATTTTTACGACAGCTACACTTTATCCTTGCATATCATGGCTACTTCCTTAACAAAGACACTTAAAAAAGAATTTAAAAAAAAAAGATTCCTCGACTGGGATTTGAACTCCAGACCTCTCGCACACTAAGCGAGCGCGTTACCCCTGTACCACGGAGAATTTATTCAATCGATGTCCGAATAGCATCAAGTGATTCTAAATTTAGAACTTCCATTGCATTTCGGGTTTGTAATCCTTATTAATTTCGAGGTATTTTGTTCAGGATAAACCTGTTGTTTAAAATTGAAGTAAATAATTTAGCGAAAATCTTCTCGCCCAAACAGTCCGACATGTAGAATCTATATATTCCACTACTCGGTTTGTGTAGTATTCGGTAATCGACATCGCTATAAATAGTATTTTCATTGATAAAATCATATTCATCCGCGTAAATTGTGATTGTGCATTTATTGACAATTCTATAAGCCAACGCTATTTTTAAACTTTGAATGCGTTGTAATTTGTTGGATACTTGTAACAAAATAAAAATATTTCTTTCTTTTAAATCGCTAGTTTTAAGCTGTTTTGAGAACTACTTGTTGTTAGGTTTGTCGTAACTTCTGTGTCAGAGATTAATGTCCCCTTTGTATTTACTTATTTTCGATCAGAACATACAATTAAACAATATTAGAAATCATCGACCATTCGGGAATTATTTTGCTTGAAAATTAATGTGCCTGTCTTTGACCAACTTTACGCAGTGATCTCCCCTGAATTTTTCGGCGTTAGTGTACATATAAAGGGAAGTAACCGCTTCAAAAAAGTGGACTACTTTCGGCATTTGCAATTAACAGCATTAGACTCTGAAATTTCGCTACCATTATTTGTTTGGTCTGACGACCCAAACAAATAAAAACTAAAACCAGTTATTTAGTTCATGAATTGAATGTCTGTCATGAAAACAATTTATCAAGTCTCAATTTAATCAAGATATTCCAAAAGTTCATATAAAAATGTCAATATTTGAGCTTGTGTGCATATTGTATGAATACTATATTGTAAACAAAATGATCAGACAATTTTCAATATTTGTCTGTGTACTACACCTAAAGAATCGGTAATGTTACACCAAATACAGTATTTTTTTTATTACTAAACAAGATCAACGCTCGACATCTTTGCTATTCATTTTATGACGATGATGATGGTGGTTTAGTTAAGAATGGCATTAATGTATTAAATTATATACTTTTTAGTGAAAAATTTTCGAAAACATTCTGTGCTGAATCATAATACCAAAAATATGCAAATATTGATAAATAACACTTGTTTTTTTTTAAATATGCTTTAATATAACAGTTATAACAATCGTCAAATAATAATAATAGTATACATATATCTACCGAAAAGCTGATTGCTATTTTAGAAAATATGAATGGCTGTATATCATACCATTGAAAACATTATTTTCTTAAAGTGACATCATGCTACATTCAAAAGCTGAATTGACTATATCTAAAATATTGACTGTTGTAAAGGTAATTGACTAACAGTTGAAAAAGGCCAAGGATAAATAAAAATCTGCCTTTATCACAAAAATATTGCCCGCTCCTTTTATAAATGGAGTGTTATATGTAAGTTCCGATCAGTATTTTCAGAACGCGAGTTATTTATCGTTCATGCCAAAAAATTTAAAATTGAAAGGAATAATGGCAAAATAAAAATTTATTTTGACTTTCACCTGTTCACTAATTACATGTACATCCCCTTGGATTGGAATAATATCATTATTAAAGTAAAACTGTACACTTTTATACAACGTTCACTTATTATATGATTAACAAAAACTCTTATGATATGTTATTACTAAATAAGAAAATTCAAGTTGTATATCACAGTATATGAAAATTAATATTTTTATATTTAGGCATTATCACAGTACATAAACCTGCTTTCAAATTTAAAGACGTTTTATAAATTTGATAATTTCCAAAAGAAAAGTGACGTAGAACAAATAATCTATACAAGATATGATGCTGAACAATTTCCCAGTTTACTACAAGCTACATGTGTATACGTTACTACGAGTATGTTCCTATGATAATCAGAAATAAAACAAAATATAAAACCACCAGACAAACCTTGCGGACAGGGTAGCTTGCTACATTTTTAATAACTAATTTTTAATTTATTATATAGGTGAAAGTCAAACGCTTTTCTCCAACTTATTTTAACACTCACTGGTATGTGTTCAAACATCAAAAATGTTATACATACCCATAACAGTAGTATATAATAAAGCTTATATGTTCAAATTTACACATTCAACATCTATAATTCAAGAAAATAATTTTGCTTTTTAACTCATGTAGCCGAAAAATACAAACAGTTTTTGTTTTATGTATCCAAGATTGCTGAAGCTATTTCGCAAACATTAGTTTTCACTAAACGCAGCTTATTTTATGGTTAAAACTCCACATCACAATTGTCAATATTTATAACGCTCTATGTTGACACTATGCTTGGTTTACTATTAAATTTGGTGACTACGTTTTTTATCGAGAAATCAATAAACACCATGTCTTAATTCAAATATAGCTAAAAAGAATTAGATGCACCTTGAATCAAACAGAAATATAGTAAAACTAAGAAATAAATAATATAAACAAGTGATATAAGATATTATGGTATTTCCCTATATATAGATGTCATGCCGTTTAAATGATAAAATGTATATATAGATAAATTTGATTGGTTTTTACATAACCCCTAAAAGGAACTAAACTTAGATCTTTTTTTTAGACCTGAAAACATAAAATTTGAAGTTCTGACAACGAACAGCTGGGGCTCTTAAAACAAAGGCTATGTAAAAGATAATTAAGAAATATACTCGGAAATGAATTGAAAAGTGTATTATATGCTATTTATAGCCCGAATTGAGTGAAATGCCTTACAGCGCTATACATTTTTGTTTCAATTTTTCACAATTTGAATAATTATCTTGGAAAAAATGTAGAGAGTGGATGATGTGGCATTTCGCACACAAGTGGACAAGATTCGCATCCAATGGAGCATTACATTCCAGTCCTGTTGTCAAAAAATATCAGTGTATCCTTTTTAAATACCCTTTTAAAGACAAAAAACACGTAAGAAGAATGCATTTATCTTAGTAAAATTTCACATCAAGTAGATCTAAATAATCGTTTGTAAAGTGCTAACTTGGATTTTTAATGTCTTAGTATGTAATTTATAATCAATAAATCTATCGTTATGCCAATAATATTGAAAACTCACTTAAACATTACAACATCATCAATCTTAGTAATAATAAAAACTTGTTCTTTAAATCATATACGAATAGTCTGTCAATATGTTTGACATATAACAAATGCAAGTCCATGAATAAATAGTAGTAAACACTGGCACAGATAGTACAAAATAACTGTATTCATCAATGTATTGTCTCCAAAAAAACTTTTAGGTAATGAATAATACAATAATCAATGTGTTAGAATCATATACATTGAACATTCATTATAAAACCAATTGATTAAAAATTTGAATTAATAATATCAAATAATAAAAACAAAATCCTTACAAGATAAAAACATAACATTTCATAAAACACACTCGCTTACATTGTGCATACTAAAACAACAATAAACGAACACATAAAGACCATTTCTCAATTTCAAATTCTGATGAATTGTTTAATGCTGATTTCGTTAAATGTCATTATGAACAAAGTTGGTGTTTGTGAAGTTATATTGCCTGTTAGTTAAACTAGAACTCCGCGAGTCGGATGTGTCGCCTTGTGAACAATATAGTTTAAGAGAAAAATGGCAAAGACAAAAATGAAATTTGAAAATCAACAAAGGGCAATAACTCAAAAAATAAGAAATGAAGATCAGCAGTTTCTGTGCACTGCACTTCTTATCAATAAAATCTATCATCCTATTAAGTTTCAAGTCTAAAGATTTTATAATTTATAAGAAATGGTTATATAAACAAAGGGCAATAACTCAAAAAATAAGGAGTACAGAGTACTTGTTCTTGTGCACTGCACTTCGGGTCATTATGAGAAGCATGCATACCAAGTTTGAAGTCAATCCGACTTATAATGACTGACTTATGCTCCGGACAAGCTTTAGGGGACGCCGACACCAACAACGACACCGACGACGACACCGACAACGACGCCAACGACGCCGCCGACAAAAGTAACCCCTATATGTCGCCTTTTTTCTTGTGCACTGCACTTCTTCTTAATGAGATCTATCATCCTATGAAGTTTCAAGTCCATAGCTTTTATACTTTAGGAGAAATGGCCTGGACAAAAATAAAGTATGAAAATTAACAAAGGGCAATAACTCAAAAAATAAGAAATGCAGAGTACCAGTTCTTGTACACTGCACTTCTTCTTAATGAGATCTATCATCCTATGAAGTTACGAGTCCAAATATTTTATACTTAAGGAGAAATGGCCCGGACAAAAATAAAGTATGAAAATAAACAAAGGGCAATAACTCAAAAAATAAGGAGTACAGAGTACTTGTTCTTGTGCACTGCACTTCGGGTCATTATGAGAAGCATGCATACCAAGTTTGAAGTCAATCCGACTTATAATGACTGACTTATGCTCCGGACAAGCTTTAGGGGACGCCGACGCCGACACCGACGACGACACCGACAACAACGCCGACAACGACGCTGCCGACAAAAGTAACCCCTATATGTCGCCTTTTTCAAGGCGACACAAAAAAACGAAACAGTCTATAAAATCTTGTATGTTTGATATTTCACTTTTCTACAAACATAACATGCTCAGGTATCATACTGTTGTGTCTGTTTTATACGTAGCACAAAATGGTTCCTTGCTCAGCTCTTTCAGAAGCTTTCTGTCTAAGTCTTGTTCTGTAACTCCTTTCACTGCAAGTTCTTCTCTCACCCTTTGTAGGTAAGTTTCATCAGGGTAGCCAAACCTGTAAATAACATCAATAATTACGTTTATAAAGTTGTCTGTTATATCAAAACCAGCAAGGAGTAAAGTTTACTTCAACAAAAGAGGATGTGTTTGTTCTAAATTTTTGCTATCACATTTTATTGCAAAGTTAATTAATTATATAAATTTAAATCCAGTGTCAATGCTAAAAGATAGATAGTATATCAAAATTACAGTCTATCAAGGGTTAATTTGAACAAAGTAAGCTGTTCAAAGTATTGAAATCTATAATTATTAAATAAATAAATGCCATTTATTTCAAAATAAAACTATAACAGGGTACACTTTCATTTACAAAATGAAAGAACTGTTTTGTAACATAATTCTACTTGTTGTATTGCTGAAAGTTTTCAGACTTAAAACATTTGGCAAATTAATTAAGGGACACATATTTCTCTATAAACCTTGAGCAAAGTCTTCTGCCTGATATTTGAAAGTATTTGGCCATATGTGTATGAAAAATTTGCCAAAATATGAAACTGTAGCAATAATTGGTAACATAATTTTTGTACAATTTGTATATTTAGAAACATTTGCAAATGTTCAATTATAAGATCTTAAGCGTGAGTGGAGTTTGGAAGCATTATAAATGTTTAAATAAGAAACTTACATATGACATTTTTTCAGCTGAATGATGATAAACAACATTAACAAGAGATTTATTACATTTTTCTACACTATAAATAATATCAAATGCACTACGAGAAATTATACAATTGATACTTACTGAGTACCAGGTCTATGATCTGTTTTATGATGAATATCATTCCATGTAATAACACCTTCTTCCCCTGTAGTTCTAGATGTTCCAATTGTAAATACCAATCTCCTTTCAAATGCAACTTTCAACATGGCACATATTTCTCTACCCTCTTTTGTGTCAGGTAAAAATCCAGTTCGACATATACCTCTGTAGTATGCCCCTGGTCGTGGATGCATTTGCTATAAAAACAGGTCAAGATATTGACATTATCATTTCAGCTCGAGCGGTCAATTTTCCTCCTTTTCATATTCGCATAGTGGCAAAAATAAAGTTAATTTGTATTGCTAGTTAAAGTCAACTTCAGATAATTACATGTCAAAAAGCATGTATGTTATGTTTTCTATATTGTGAAATACCATTCCTTCTTATTAAACATGTCTGTTTTAAATGTAAATGGAAGAAAAACTCGTTAACACATGTCATATGCCTTCAAACTCATTTGAGAAACAAGAAATGTCAAACAACACATACAACCCTTTCTAGCCCTTGACTCACATTATTGGTAATTTTGTTATAGAAACTTGCCATAAATGGGTACATGGAAGTGTTCAATTATGGAAAAAAGAAAAATAATGAAGACTTTGTGATAAATAGTTTTCAAGATAATGAGACATTTAAGGCCCCTGTGACCTAGACCTTTGAACTAGTGACCCAAAATCAATAGGGGTCATCTAATAGTTATGACCAATCAATATTAGAAATATGAAGACTTTGTGATAAATAGCTTTCAAGATAATGAGCGGAAACCATACTAACATTCAAGAACCCTGTGACCTTGACCTTTGACCTAGTGACCCCAAAATCAATAGGGGTCACTTACTAGTTATGACCAATCAGTATGTGAAATATGAAGACTTTGTGATAAAAAGTCTTCAAGATAATATGCGGAAACCATTCTGACATTTAAGGCCCCTGTGACCTTGACCTTTGATCTAGTGACCACAAAAGCAATACGGATCATCTCTTGGTTATGACCAATCACTATGTGAAATATGAAGACTTTGTAATAATCATCTTTCAAGATAATGAGCTGAAATCATACTATCATTCAAAGACCCTGTTACCTTGACCATTGACCTGGTGACCCCAAAATCAATAGTGGTCATCTACTTGTTATGACAAATCAATATGTGAAATATGAAGACTTTGTGATGAATTGTATCTAAGATAATGAGCGGAAACTATTCTGACATTTGAGGCCCCTGTGACCTCGACCTTTGACCCAAACATCAATTTGGGACATCTACTAGTTATGACCAATCAATATGTGAAACATGAAGACTTTCTGATAAATAGTAACCAAGATAATAAGCCGAAATCATATTACCATTCAAGACCCCTGTGACCTTGATCTTTGACCTAATGACCCCAAAATCAACAGAGGTTATCCACTTGTTATGACCAATCAATATGTGCAATATGAAGACTTTGTGTAATATGAAAACTTTGTGATGAATTCTTTTCAAGATAATCAGCAGAAACCATTTTGACATTTAAGACCCCTGTGACCTTGACCTTTGACCTAGTTACCCCAAAATCAAAAGGGGTCATCTACTAGTTATGACCAATCACTATGTGAAATATGACAAATTTTTGATGAATACTTTTCAAGATAATCAGCGAAAACCATTTTGACATTTAATGCCCTTGTGACTTTGACCTTTGACCTAGTGACCTCAAAATTTATAGGGGTCATCTACTAGTTATGACCAATCACTATGTGAAATATGAAGACTTTGTAATTCATAGTTTTAAAAATAATCAGCGGAAACCATGTGGTCTACCAACGGACAGACTGACAGACAGGCGGACATACAGACAGACAGACAGACCGACATTAGTAAAACAATATACCCCCTCTTCTTCTAAGGGGGGCATTAAAAGGGGAGATGGTTTTTATAAACTTAATTTTAGGATTATTATGAAATAAGCAGTTGCTTATATGTACTTAAAATACGATAGAACTTTACATTCACTCATTCTTTTAGATATAAAAGATGCAAAAATATCAATTACCCCTTGATAGCCAGGAGGGAAATTATACGACAACGCTATGGTCTTACACCCTTCATATCCTGTACAACTTGATCGTATCTTAGCAACATCTAATGTCCCATCAGGTTGATCACCAATGACAACACCACATACTTGCCCACATGTCGGACACACTTGTTTAACCTTCAAATATACGTAACGCAAATATTCTTTTACTTGTCAAATGTTCGTTCAATTTTTTGGAAAAAAAAACAAAACAAACAAAACAAAATATTTAAGATGAAGGAACAGTTGTATAACAAAAACCTTACCTTGAAATATCCTTCAATACATTCTTTGCAAAATTGGTGACCGCATTTCAGCTTTGCTGCTTCCTCAATTTTGTCCATACATATAACGCAATCATCTTCAATTTCTGTAGAAACGGCCTTTAAATATAGTCATCTGATTGAAATAACTTTTAATGATACTGATATGAAACAATGCAGCAATAATGACACTTTTCGGGTATATGAAATAGATCAAGTTTCAATTCTAAATTGCAAATCCCCAAATAAACTGGATAAAATGAACAACAATCCATAAAGTAAATCGAATTTTAAATTATTCATAGTTCACAATACTTTGCAGTATATGTATTAAAGAACAGAATTGTAGAGGATCAATAAATAGTAATTGAAATTTTTGTTCACAATAATGAGTAAAATTTACTGAAAGAACAATTATCAAGTGGCTTTGAGTGGATATTCAAAGCTATTTTCATACTGTATCCATTTTGTGCTTTGTTTTACTATGCACCAACATTATTGAGGTATTATTTAATTAGATAATACAAACAAGAAATGTTTGTCACATTTTAATCAACACTTACATCACTTTTCTCTTTATTTTCTTTACGATCCTCATAATCTTTCTTGTCCTCCTCCCTTCTCTTATTTCTCTCTTCAATTTGTTGCTGAGCATCAAATGACGGCCCACCAGAATTTCCATTCCAAGCATTAATGTGTTGTCTGAAGATATCTTTAACAAGGTCTGAAGTATACTTATCAACAAGAATAAGATGGATCGTCAAGGCATATCCATGGTATTTTCTTACAAACCTTCTCCATTCTTCCAGGAACACTGTGGCACTTGTACTGAGTGAAAAGTTGCCTGAACCTTGAAAAAGAAATTTATGTATAACTTAAATGCTTAGAAGTTTATGCAGATCTGAAAGTCTGTCTGACTTAATTTACATTTCAAAACACATATCAAGCAAGCTACTTTCCTTTTATTTGTAATTTTATAAAATGAAGAACAAATAAATATCAATGTCACTGATTTTGCTACCATTTAGCAAGTCAATATCTGGAAACTCAGAATAATTGAATCAACAAGAGGGCCAAGATGGCACTAGATCGCTCCACTGTCCCATCGACCTTATCCAAGCAATGTCAGACAAGCATCCTGACCAATTTGATGACAATTGAGTGAAAAATGTGACCTCTAGAGTGATAACAAGGTGTATCTTTATTTAGGCAGTGTGACCTAGTTTTTGACACCAGGTGACCCATATTCAAACTTGACCTAAAAATCATCAAAACAAACTTGTAGACCAATTTCCAGGATATTTGGATAACAACAGTAACCACTAGAGAGTTCACAAGATTTTTCTATTTTTAGCTCCTGTGACTTAGTTTTACATCAAATTTACATGTTCAAATTTCTCCAAGCAATTAACTCTAGATAAAGCATCCTGACCAAGTTTGATGACAAATGAGTCAAAAATGTTACCATTAGAGTATTCCAAAGGTTTTTCCATATTTGAGCAGTGTAACCTTTTTTTGACAGGTGACCTATATTCGAACTTTACCTTGAAATCATCAAAACAAATTTTCAGACCAATTTCCAGGATATTTGAATCAAAACAGTAGCAACTAGAGTGTTAATAAGATTTTTCTATTTTTAGTTCGTGTGACCTAGTTTTAGACGAGAGACGACCCATATTCAAACTTGATCGAGAAATAATTTAAACAACCTTTGTGACAAATTTCCAGAATATTTGGATTAAAACTGCAGCCACAATTGTGTTAACAATATTTTTTTGAGCTCCTGTGACCTAGTTTTAGACCGAAGATGACCTATAACCAAACTTGACCTAGAAATCATCAAAACAACCTTTCTGATTAATTTCCAGGATATTTGATCAAAACTGTAGCCACTAGAGTGTGAACAAGCTTTTTCTATTTTTAGCTCCTGATCAAAACAACCTTCCTGATCAATTTCAAAAATATTTGGATCAAAACTGCAGCCACTAGAGTGTAAACAAGCTTTTTCTATTTTTAGCTTCTGTGACCTAGTTTTTGGATATGACCCATGTTTAAACTTGAAATAGAAATCATCAAAACCACCTTCCTGATTGATTTCCAGGATACTTGAATAAAAAATGCAGCCACTGAAGTGTTAACAAGATTTTTCTATTTTTAGCTCCTGTGACCTAGTTTTTGACCAGAGACAACCCATATTCGAACCTGACTTAGATCTCATCAAAACAACCTTCCTGACAAATTTCCAGAATATTTGAATAACAAGAGGGCCATGATGGCCCTGAAGTCGCTCACCTGTACATAGGCCCCCGGAGCGAGCCAGTTTAAAGCCCGGGGCTTTTATTTGAACAAACTTGGTAGACAACCATTAGAAGATGTTTCATGCTAAACATCTAAGGTCTAGCTCATTGGGATTTTTAAAAGAAGATTTTTAAAAAAAAATTCTTTACACATATAGTTAAAAACAATGACACACCTGGGGCAGGGCCAGTTTTGACCCCATGGCTTTTATTTGAACAATCTTTGTAGACACTTATTAGAAAATGTTTCATGCTTAATATCTAAACTCTAGCTATTCGGGTTTTTTCAAAGAAGATTTTTAAGTTTTTGCTATACTCGTATAAGGAAAATCAATGTCCCCCTGGGCTGGGCCAATTTTGACTCCAGGGCTTTTATTTGAACAAACTTTGAAGACACTCACTAGAAGATGCTTCGTGCTTAATAACTAAACTCTAGCTATTTGAGTTTTTTCAAAGAAGATTTTTCAATTTTTGCTATAGTTTTACACATAGAGGGAAAATGAATGACCTCCGGGGTGGGGCCAATTTTGACCCCAGGGCTTTTATTTGAACAAACTTTGTAGACAATCACTAGAAGATGTTTCATGCTTAATATCTAAACTCTAGCTATTTTGTTTTTTCCAAAGAAGATTTTTTAAGTTTTTCCTATACACATATAATAAAATTTGGAAAATCAATGACCCCCAGGGCCGGGCAAATTTTGACCCAAGGGCTTTTATTTGAACAAACTTTGTAGACACCCATTAGAAGATGTTTCATGCTAAATATCTTAGCTCTAGCTCTTTGGGTTCTTTTAAAGAAGGTTTTTAAGTTTTTACTATATGTATATATGGAAAATCAATGACACCCTGGGGTGGGGCCAACTTTGACCCCAGGGCTTTTATTTGAATAAACTTGGTAGACATCCATTAGAAGATGTTTCATGCTAAATATCTTAGCTCTAGCTCTTTTGGTTCTTTAAAAGAAGTTTTTTTAAGTTTTTACTATATGCATATAGGGAAAATCAATGACCCCCTGGGGCGGGGCCAATTTTGACCCCAGAGTTTTTATTTGAACAAACTTGGTAGACACCCATTAGAAGATGTTTCATGCTAAATATCTTAGCTCTAGCTCTTTGGGTTCTTTAAAAGAAGATTTTTTAAGTTTTTACAATATGCATATAGGGAAAATCAATGACCCCCTGGGGCGGGGCCTATTTTGACCCCAGGGCTTTTATTTGAACAAACTTGGTAGACACCTATTAGGAGATGTTTAACGCTAAATATCTTAGCTTTAGCTCTTTGGGTTCTTTAAAAGAAGATTTTTAAGTTTTTACTATATGCATATAGGGAAAATCAATGACCCCCTGGGGCGGGGCCAATTTTGACCCCAGGGCTTTTATTTGAACAAACTTGGTAGACACCTATTAGAACATGTTTGATGCTCAATATCCTAGCCATAGCTCTTTGAGTTCTTTAAAAGAAGATTTTTTTAAGTTTTTACAATATGCATATAGGAAAAATCAATGACCCCCCGGGGCGGGGCCAATTTTGTACCCAGGGCTTTTATTTGAACAAACTTGGTAGTCACACATTAGAAGATGTTTCATGCTAAATATCTTAGCTCTAGCTCTTTGGATTCTTTAAAAGAAGATTTTTTAAGTTTTTATTATATGCATATAGGGAAAATCAATGACCCCCCCCCCGGGGCGGGCCAATTTTGACCCCAGGGCTTTTATTTGAACAAACTTGGTAGACACTCACTAGAAGATGTTTCATGCCAAATATCTAAGCTCTAGCTCTTATGCGTTTTAAAAAAAGATATTTAAAGTTTTTTCTTTCGGTTGCCATGGCAACCAGAGTTCTGCATGGAATTAAATTCTTTGAACAATTTTTAAAGGTGACCACCAAAGGAACATTCTTGTGAAGTTTGGATGAAATTGGCTTAGTGGTTTATGAGGAGATGTCATTTAAAGTAGAAGTTTACGGACAGACCACGGAAGGACGACGGACGAAAAGCGATCACAAAAGCTCGCCCTGTCACTTTGTGACAGGTGAGCTAAAAAAAACCAGTAATAATAATCAGTTATACAAATGATTATTCAAATTATGTCAGTTATATTTTGTTTGCCAACAATGTAAACATGTCTCAAAAGGGAGGACATAAAAAGAGACATACAGACATTGTATTGTTTAAAAGTAGAGAAATACCTGTCCCAAAAAGTGGAAGTGCAATGCTGCTAATGTTTTCTTTTGCAAGTTTCTCAAGTAAGTTGATGTACATCATATGTAGTGCTTTTATATCTTTCCTCGGAGTAATCACATGTACAATGCCTTTAAAACAGCTTTTTCCACCAGAAGTAAAAACAATATCCCCATAATTGTAACTGGACTTGAACATTTCTGATTTCTCCTTAAGATAATCTTTTCCATTTGTTTCCGCTAGGTGATTTGCAACTTCCCCTTTCGCTTCACCTTTTCTGTTTTCACTACATGCAAGAGCTTGAATACCTCGCAATTTTACAATATCACCATGGTATATCTGCACTTCTTTGTTGGACGAAAATACACATATCAATTTTGAACCATCAATTGCGTATGTTGCATTCCAACCAATATCTTTTTCTGTATGTTCACTTCTTTCATTATGAAATTGACTATTAACATGTATTTCTTCTGTTAACTTTTTGGAATTGTGTTTTGTTTCTGCATTGGCCATAGTTTCTACCTGACAATACCTCTGTACATCAAGTTTGATATTTTGTTTTTGGACGATCATCATGTCAAAGACATGATGTATTATATCTATCATGTCAGGTTTGATGTCAACAATGTGTATTTCTTTCAGTCCATTATGTATTGTGCTGTAATCTATAACTGCTTTTGCATACTGTATCACACACAACTCTTTTGGCACACCAAATAAGCCTGCAACAGACAAGATACTTGAATAAGCCTTAACTGATATGGGTCATTTGTATGTCTACTTATAATGGTGCTATGTTAATAAATAGTGATGATCTATCCCTGTTTAAGCATTTTCTCAGTCATGAAAACTTAAAAGGTATAGATGAAATTATTTCCAATGGACAATATAAAATATAATTTATGTATAACAGCCTGAAAATTCCAACCATTAACCATTATTTTACATTAGTGACAAGTTGGGCATTAGTGCAGTCTGAACAGGTTCTATTCTGTTGGCTGACTAACTTCAAATTTTCATCTTCAAATCCCAAAATATTATACATAATTCCATAGATGGAAGTTGGACACATGCATTTAAGAAATTCACCAGGATAAGGGTTGAAAATACACAATTCACCTGACGAAATAGTCGGAATGGCTATTGTCTGTAAGCCTTCTCGTTCAGCTGCTAGGAAGCATCTAATAGTTGTCAATTTAAGTTGATGCAAGCATTCACCAATACTTTCTTCTGTTAATGGAGAATAGTCATACCAACATGGCCCTACAGCATGAAGTATGCATTTGTATGGAAGCAGCCCTGCTGTTGTTCTAACAACTTCTGCAACTGGTAAAGCTCCTCCTATTGAAAATATGCAAATTAAATGAAAATGATTCTGTGGCAGAACAAGATTGCATTTGTGAAAAATGCTATGTCACCGCATTAATACAACACTAAATAGTAATGTAGGAACACAATTTTTTTGTTGAAGATTGCCAAAATGCATAGATCACTGACCTATCTAATTGTTATTATCAGATAAGTACCTTCAGACAATTTTTTACTTGACAAAAATCATTGACCCCTGGGGCGGGGCCAAATTTGACCCCAGGGCTATAATTTGAACAATCTTGGTAGAGGTTCACTACAAAATGATTCATGCAAAATATCTAACCTCTAGCCTTTGTCAATTTCGATAAGATGATTTTTTAAGTTTTTACTATATACATATACATGTACCGGTATAAGGAAAAATGATGAACCCCGGGGCGGGGCTAATTTTGACGCTAGAGGCAAAATTTGAACAAGTCTGGTAAGTTACCTAAAGATTATATCATATACCAAATACCAAAGCTCTAAGGCTTTTACCTTCAGACAAGAAGGTATTTTAAGTTTTTACTATATGTACATATAGTGAAAATCAATGACCCCCAGGGCGGGGCCAATTTTGACCCCAGGGCTATAATTTGACCAATCTTGGTAGAGGTCTACCAGACAATGCCTTGTGCAAAATATCTATGCTCTAGGCCTTGTGGGTCTTTACAAGAAGATTTTTTAGATTTATTCCTATAATTCCTTTTGGTTGCCATGGCAACCAGATTTCTGCATGGAATGAAATTCTTTGAACACCTTTGAAAGCACTTCACCCAAGGATCAATCCTGCCAAGTTTGGTTGAAATTGGACTAGTGGTTTTTCACAAGAAGATTTTTTAAGTTCACTATATAATCTATATAACACACATACAAACACACGGGTGAATCGCTTTAAAAATATATAATTAATATACAAAAATTTAAATGAAAGTCTTGAATAAAACCAATCTTTTCAAGTCATTTCATGTGTCTATTTACACTCAGTTTACATTATAAAAGATTTGTGCACCATGCATCATTATTGCACATAGTATTTATCAAAGCTTGTGTACATAACCAAATTCTTAATTTCCTGAACATCAAATGTTATCCATAAAATGATTAGAAAAAGAAACACAGCTATTAAAACAATATTATGTAACAAAATATAGCAACACTCTCAAAGAATATCTGGCTTCCATGAATTAATACTATTAATTTTTTATTTCTGTAGAAATAAGCCACTGCTTCTTTATCGGCATGAACACATAATTAGAATTGATACTTATGCAGGAGTTTGTACATGAAAAATGTAACTTTCATATAAGAGGCCCAATTATCACCGCAGTAGGTAAAGAGAACACCCAATCAAAGTCATTGTCAATAAAGTACTATTTTCAATCAATCCTTTAAATATGATAAATTAAATTATGAATTTTTTTGTAAAAGAAGCTCATTTTTTTACTTTAAGGTAATGTTAAAAAAAATTTTTACTCATAAGTATGTACAGTTAAAAAGAAAAAGATTGTTTTACCGTAAGATGCTGAACAGTTAAAAAGAAAGAAAAACAGTTGTTTTACCATAAGATGCAGTAATTTTCACTGATTCAATATCCAACCCGTTTCCAGCAGCATTTGCTATGGATAATGCCAGTCCTCCAGTATGTGAAAGGTTGCTGTTTGCTGGATTTACAATACAGTCAACTGGAACACCGATTATATCACCTTCATATACTCTAACACATAGTCCGCTGATGTCATATACTTTCATATTTTTGGTGTTCTGTGTCCATGAAAATTGTCTGACAATGTTCTTTCTCTGGGTTGTTTTCTTCTTGTCTTCCTGGCCATCATTTAATATGACAGACTTATTTAGGTGTTGCTGTGAATGCTCATTGTCATTTGCTTGTACGTTTCTTCTCTCTGAAGAGGTATTCACTTCACTTTGAAGTTTTTGGGCCACTTGGGCGACAGCCTGTTCATTGCCAAAACACGCAGATTTCTGTAGGCCAATACCTAATTTTTGTACTATTTTGTCCTGTATTGATTTTAATTTTCTAGATTCATGAGCATATATGTACACAATAGCACTTATTCTGTCAAATATACACATACAACTCCCACGTTGATTAACAAGCTTTATTTCTTCTTTAACAGACTTGGTGTCACAACCTTGCACACTTACAGAGCAGGAGACATACCTTCTCACTTCTTTTAAGTACTCTTCAACATCATCGGCTGCACGTTTCAGTTCTTTACGTTTACCAGATAATACAAGGCAATCGTTCTTGTGCTCCATTTCAACAGAAGGGACCTCATACATATGCCTAAGTAATAAATACTCTTGCAATGTGACTTGTTTGAAACATACTTGAATTTTATCTGACGGGTTGTACAGTTCGTCATCACACCTTTCCAAGACACAGGACTTTGCTTTTTCAACATTCTCAGTCTGGCCAGATATTTTTATTTGAACTCTAGGAATGTCCTCTTTTTGTCTGCCAACTTCTAGTGGTTTTCCTATAATAAAACAGAACACATCAACTTTCTGCATATTTGGTCAGGTTGTTACACTTACTTACACAAGACTATCATCCTACAAATATTCTAAGACAATACTTGCGAAAATGCTAGGTAAAAGTATGCAAAGTAATGTTTTAATGTGTACAGAACCGTGAATATTCAAAAGCATACATTTAATAAAATAAATTTATTCAAAAGAATATTAATCTTTTTTATTATTAATATCAATTTCTTAATACATTTCAATTTTATATTTAGAGTAAAGGAATATATTATAGACAAACATACCTAGTGATTCTTCATGCTTTTTGAAAATCTAAATGAAAAAAGTTCATAGTGTACAATTACTTTAAACTCAATGGTAAAAATACAGTAAAAATAAGAATAAGTAAATGTATGTAAAATAAGGTAAAAATAAGAAATTGTTTGAAAATTGTTTGAGTAAATGCATGTAAAAAAATGGTAAAAAAAAGTAATTGAAGGTAAAATATGGTAAAATAAGCAATTGTATGTAAAAAAATATGATAGGACAATCAAGTACAACATGGTATTAACAAGAGCCACCGCCGGGCGGGGGCAACGCTCGACTTTTTACTTTTTCTAAACGCAAACATAGAAAGGTTTGAACATATATTAACGTTTCCTTTTTATAAATTTAGTTTGTCTGTCTTGTCACATTAGTTTTCTTTATATATTTTGTATATATATGAATAGAAACATTAAGCATATTTCTAAAAATAGCAACAGTACGCAATTTCTTGAAATAGCAACATGACGCAATTTCTCAATATAGAAAAAATGACGCAATTTCTAAAAATACAAAAAATGACATAATCTCTAAAAATAAAAAAGTGATGCAATTTCTAAAAATAGCAACAATGATGCAATTTCTAAAAATAGAAAAATTGACGCAATTTCTAAAAATAGAAAAAATGAAGCAATTTCTAAAAAAAGAAAAAAATGACGCAATTTCTAGATATACTAAAATAGAAATTATGACGCAATATCTAAAAATAGAAATTATGACGCAATTTCTAAAAGTAGAAAAATGACGCAATTTCTAAAAAATAGCACCAATGATGCAATTTCTAAAAAATAGAAATTATGACGCAATTTCTAAAAATAGAAATTATGACGCAATTTCTAAAAAATGACGCAATTTCTAAAAATAGCACCAATGACGCAATTTCTAAAAATAGAAAAAATGACGCAATTTCTAAAAATAGAAATTATGACGCAATTTCTAAAAATAGAAAAAATGACGCAATTTCTAAAAATAGCACCAATGACGCAATTTCTAAAAATAGAAATTATGACGCAATTTCTAAAAATAGAAAAAAATGACGCAATTTCTAAAAATAGCGCCAATGACGCAATTTCTAAAAACAGAAATTATGACGCAATTTCTAAAAATAGCAAAAATGATGCAATCTCTAAAAATACTAAAAATAGAAATTATGACGCAATTTCTAAAAATAGAAAAAATGACGCAATATCTAAAAATAGCACCAATGACGCAATTTCTAAAAATAGAAATTACAACGCAATTTATAAAAATAGAAATTATGACACAGTTTCTATAAATAGCACCAATGATGCAATTTCTAAAAATAGAAATTATGATGCAATTTCTAAAAATAGAAAAAATGATGCAATCTCTAAAAATACTAAAAATAGAAATTATGACGCAATTTCTAAAAATAGAAAAAATGACGCAATATCTAAAAATAGCACCAATGACGCAATTTCTAAAAATAGAAATTATGACGCAATTTCTAAAAATAGAAATTATGACACAATTTCTAAAAATAGAAAAAATGATGCAATCTCTAAAAATACTAAAAATAGAAATTATGACGCAATATCTAAAAATAGAAAAAAATGATGCAATTTCTAAAAATAGAAATTATGATGCAATTTCTAAAAATAGAAAAAATGACGCATTTCTATAAAAAAAACCCAAAAAAACAATGACCCAATTTCTCTAAATAGAAACAATGATGCAATTCTATAAATAGAAACAATGACGCAATTCTATAAATAGAAACAATGACACAATTTTAGTTATTGTTGTTGTTGTTGTAAATATATATATATAGACACACACACACCAATAAATATTTAAATATGGTCATTTACTGCACAAATCTGAGAAAATTCAGTAATTTAACCTTCAAGGTCAAGGTCATTTAAGAGCCCAAGCAAAGTTGGGTTTGATAAACAACAAGGTCTGGTCCTTAAGAATGTTCTCTAATAATATGAAGTTGATCCCTTCAATAATAGCAAAGTTACAGTCAGTGACCGCCAAAACAATGAAAATTTCAATAATTTGACCTTCAAAGACAATGTCATTAATGTGTGAAGGTCAAGGTCTTCCGGTATATCTTTAACAGTAATCTTTGAAGATTATTATGTTCAAGTTTCAGGACAATCCATTCAAAAATAACAAACTTACAGCCAATAAAAGCCAAAAAAATGAAAATTTCAATAATTTGACCTTCAAAGTCAAGGTCATTTATGAGTGAAGGTCAAGGTCTGGCTGGTTATTTTTAAGGGATATCCTTAAAGATTATTATGTTCAAGTTTGAAGACACAATCCATTCAAAATAACAAAGTTACAGCCAATAACAGCATGAACAAGCAAAAATTGGACTTTTAACCTTGAAGGTCAAGGTCATTTATGGATGAAGGTCAAGGTTAGTGTGGTCTACTGAAAGGTCTTGTCCCAAGGGTTGTTGTGGCCAAGTATGAAGACAATACACAAAGAAATAAAAAAGTTATGATCCAGGTACAAGTTTTCGGACGGCAACGGCAACGGCAACGGCAACGGCAACGCCGACCTGACTGTAGCAATACCTCTATTTTTTTTTCAAAAAAAAAAGTCGAGCTAAAAAACTATATATAGAGGAACTACATTCAACATGGACTTCATAAAATGAAAAATTGCAATAATATTTTAGACACCACAAATTGACTGACCATAATCAAAATTTCCTGCAATATATTGTACCAGGTTTTACATGATCACCTTGAACTCGATTTAAACAAGAAATGTCAAAATGGCATTACAACATTCTACTTTAATGAGGAGTAAGAATAAGTAACCATTATGTAAGTCACAGAGAAACTGATTATGTAAATATAAGAAAAACAGGAATAATATAGCAACGCAATCAAAAATTGTAAAATGGTGAAAACAAAAGTTTTCAGAGGTGATTTAGAAAGCTTGAATTTAACAATGAACTATAAAGAGAACTATCAACATATAAAATATTTTGGCCTACAAGATCACAGTTACAGATCACCTTTGACACCTCAAACCAAAAAGTGGAAGGGGTTGTTTACAACCAAAGACAAAAGCACCAATAAAGTTTGAGAGCCAGGCCCCATGATTTATTGAGTATTTGGTCAACAACCATTTTGACAGTCAAGGTCAGGTCAATGTGACCTTGACCTTTGAGACAGCCCTCATTCCAAAAATCAAAAGGGATCATCTACTGCCTAAGGCCAATATCCTATAGTTTGACGGCCATCACCACAAGGGTTGTTGAGTTATTGGTTGGGTATCGTTTTGGCATACAAGGTCAATGAAACCTAGACCTTTTGCCGTTTTGGCCATCAACTGAAAAAAATCAGAAGGGTCATCTTTGATCCAAAACCAACCCTTCCATGAAATTTGAGGGCAAAGGGCCCTTTTGTTGTCAAGTTATTGGTTGGAAACTGAGGTTCATGTGACCTTAAACTTAGACCCTACAACATTAAAATCTTAAGGGGTAATCCTCTGTCTAAGACTAAAGAACCTGTTAAGTTTAGGGGACAAGGGCCAATCAGATTCAAAGTTATTGGTCAGAAACTGTTTTGATATACAAGGTCAATGTGACTTTGACCTTTGCACCCTTGACACAAAAATCAATAGGGGTTGAGAACTGGCAATGGTTAATGCGTTTGAAAGCCAATTGATTGTTGACTTATTTCTCAATGTGACCTAGACCTTAGGTGTCATTCTATCAAAACATTCAATATAGGGAGGTCAAATTCAACTTATATGATAAAATCAGATAAAGATATAGGGTCAGGAAATCTTTTGAATCCCTGTCTGTTCACAAATTTGAAAACATTATTACAAATTTGAAAACACTATCAAAAATTACCTACCTCCATAACTGTTATATTTGCTGGATATATGACAAAGAAAACTGTTGTCAATGATGTATCCATGTAAACACTCTTGAAACGCTCAACGCTCTCGAACATAGCTGCTGCCACAAGGTCTATAGGATATCTCAAAACACCTGTCCCGATAGCGGGGAAAGCTATCGTCTTGTACTCCATTTCTGACGCTTGCTCCAGGCAACGTGTTACCAATGTACGAATACTCTTCAAAATTAAAGTGTTAAGACTTTAACATATATTTCATTTTTTTTCTAAATGCAAACAAAAAGTTGAAGCCTCATCATTTCTGAACACGACTGATAAAAGTGAATATAACAACATTAAAAGCAAATTTTAGCTTAAAATAAAAGTTTATTTGAAATGTGTCTTCGGACAGTCGAATGCCTCTATATTCAAATGTTTTGTCAGTCTACAGACAGATAACATGACAGCGGGATGGACGGACAAGGGCAAAAGATTCATCCCTGCCTCAATTGATGGGGCATAAAATCAACTAGCAGTTAATTTTTGTATTGTTTCATCCATGTTTTGTAACATTTTTGTAGAAAAGCCACTTAAAATTATTTCAGTAAAATGATGTAATCACATAATCTAACCCATGTTATGTCTCACTAGAACATGATTTATGAATGGATTGTAAATATACTACCATGAGCATATTACAATGTGAGAAATGGTCATAGCAACATTGATTTAGACAAGTTCATACGTAAATTATCTAACAACAAAAAATTACAATAAAATACCTCTATAGTATTCATTTCCTGTTTAGGTATATACCTATCTAAGGCAATGTGGAAAACTTTATCACAATGTAATTTGTGGCCACCTGTCACAGCTACCTCATGCTTTGATATTGATATGCCTCTTGGAAATTTTTCAAAACATTCTCTCTGTATACCTTGACCTGCAGCCTTTAGTAATGTTGATGACACTTTCCCATTTGTCAAATCCAAGTCTCTCGAAGTGGTGTTAACTATCACATCAGCCTATAAATAATAGAGATTAAAATTGTATTTTCTTATGTTTTACTAATTTATTGTTTTAGACAGTATATATGTTTGGAAGAAGATAATATTTATTTCTTATAAGCCCGAAAACATGTTGACATATATTGTCATGCACCTCCCTCAGTCAGTTGGCTATTTTGTGTCTGCTCTGTTTATTTTGAACTGATTGAAGGAAACTGAAACTATATAGCGGAAAAGTTAACCATCATAAAAAGATTTGCTGACTTATTTAGGTCAAGGTCACATATTGTCATTCTGAATCAAATTCAAAATTTCTTGTTGCCTCTGTACCTTTTGAATTGATTTGGGAATGCAGGTTTACGCTATCTAAGATCAATATTATCCCTACCACCGGGAATCACTTGATTTATAAATACTTTAGTTTATATAGAAAAATACTTTTAAATCTAAGTGTGAAGACACAATGCCCACAGATTAGAGATTTATCTTGTAGCATTACCTTGTGGACCTCTACAAAACAGATATTAATTTGGCTCCTCATGTCCAAAATGGGGTCACTTTTAGTCTTATTCCATGAAACTACTTGCCTAGAGTCTAAATATTTGGCATGTAGCATGGCCTTGTGGACCACCACGAAACTGATACATAGAATTCCTTTTGAGTCAATATTTGCCCAGTTCTGTGGGTCACTTACTCAGTATAGACTTATATATAGGAAAACACATTAAAGTCTTTTTTTGTGGAATTAAATTGCCCAGAGCTAAGATGTTTGGCATGTAGTACTGCTTAGTCGACCTCTACAGAAGTTACATAAATTATGATCCATGTCACTTAGTTTATGTAGTTAAATATTTAATCCTATCCTTTTAAAACCCAGCACTCTGATTTTTGGCATGTTCCATCAATTTGTAGTCTTCTACAAAAGTTATATTAACTTACATCCTGAGGTCAAAGTTGGCGCTCTCCTGGAGGAGGGTAGTATAAACTGATGTTACTTTTGTGGAAAACAACAGTTCTCAGATCTAATATATTTGGCATGTATTAGTTTATTCTATAAAAGTTTTATTAATTATGCACCTGGGGTCAAACATTCTTCCAACCTTTAGGTTATTAAGTTAATATTGAAATGATTATTAAAATAAAACATTTTTTGCAAAGTTCTGTTGATGGGTCTGTTCCCTAACTGAAAGATTACTTTTGATTGGCAAAACTAATACAAAAAAACATTCATTTGGATGTTTATTTTCCCCAACTCAGCAAGGCTTTTGTTTTCATTTTAAAACATATAAAAATATTGTTAAATATGTTTTGTTCATGTATTTATAAATTTAATGTAAACAAGTGTATGGGTAGATGGCCTAAATGTAAATTTAAAATTGGCAATTGTACAACAATGATTGAATGGTACAATATGGTTGAATGGTACAATGTACAATAAGGTTGAATATGTAAACTTGTAGTACCCAAATTTACCTTTGTTTTGGCAAGTTCTCCTGGCATTAAGATGACTTGCAATTCATTCTGTTTTTCCCTCTCTGCTGAAATTTAATAATATATGCTCTCACATTTAATTGTATTATATCTTGTTTGTAGGCATTTTTCAATGCATTTTTGTGATACTTTTAAAATATAAAAAAATAACTAAAATATTTTGTAATTTTGAAGCAAACATCCAAAAATGATTCATTCTTTATTCTAGGTTTTTATGCTTTACAATGCAAAAAAGTTTGTATTCTATAGTATTCTCTTTGACTTACCCTTGCTGCTCAAATTAACTTAGGTCATATGGCTACTTTTCAGCTTCACTTGTGGAGGAAGACCTCAGTTTCCCTTCCTTGCTTTATTTCGGGCACAAGTGTGTACATGAGTAGAACCACAGACGTTCACTAAACTTGCTCAATTTTACTTAAATTTGATTGTGAAATCACTTAATTTACATTAGGAGAAAGCACTGATTCATGCCATTGATCACAGATATATACATGTATTTAAAAATGTGGAAATGTAAAAAACCAACCTTTTAAATATTTACGAATGCGCCTGTTGATATAATGAAGTGTCTCACCAAACTTTGCATTTTCTTTCAGTATCAGGGTTACCATGTGAGGTAACTTTTTGATGTCATTTAGAAATATGCCTTTCACTGATACAATACATTTGATGAAGGCAGATATTGGCCAGCCATTACATGCCTCTAGGTGCATAACAATATGGCTGACATCCGCAAACTCTGTTTGTGAAAGAAATTGAGTCAACAAGTCACTCAATATGTCTTCATTCCCATGGCCATCTTTCCATTCTGGTAAACGTATTATCACTGATACTGGTTCCGCATTAGAAATAGTTATAGAATCTAAAACAAAATTTGAGTGAAAAGTAATACATGTTGTATAACATAAGTGTTTTGCTTTACATTTGAAATTTAGCAACCTCCTGGGCAGGCTCATTTTTTATCCCAAGGGGCATATGAACCTTGTCATTTATAAAGTAAGTAGTAAGTAAAATATCTTTGAAATTTAAAGTAAATTCTTTTTATTGAGTATTTAAATAGAGTAAGAAAATATTTTACTGAACAAAAATTTGATCCAGAAGTCTTGATGTGGATACAAGGGTGAGTAGGACAACTTTGTCAAGCTAAAAACTGAATCTTAGGACACAAGAAATAGTAAAACATATCAGAAATACCTTTATTATGTCTGCATTCTTTGAACTTCACATTTACGAAACGAGACCCAGAGTTTGCATTTCCATCATATTGATTTGTTGTCAATTGCAATATTTTCTGCACTCTTTTCACTTTCCATAAAACTGAGCGTTCTATTGTTTCCTCTGGAGTGAAGACAGCATTTTCAGCAACTTCAACAATATCTGCTAACCTGTAGTCAATGACCTGATGTATCGTTACATTATGATCATCTGCACAAGTTGATAAAAATGATCTACTCTCATCTTTGATCATAAACTGTGCATGTATAGGATGAGAAATGTCTATAACTTGTGTATCTAAATCTGATGTTGAAAAAAGATGTTCTCCTGACTTTTGGTCATTCTTTTCAATTTGTTCCTTTCTAAATCTCTTATCCATTTTCCTTGTTACTGCTTCATTTTCTTCCAGCTTTGTAAGCTTTAACTTTGAATCATCAATCGCATCTTTATTTGAGCAGAGTGTATGATCCTGCCTTTGTTTTTCTTTCCTTTCTTCATATTCCTTTGTTTCTGGGCTTTCTTTTGCAGCCATATTATTGATGTTGTGCATATCCTGTTGTGCACTATCTTTATGGCATCTTTTTGTCAAAGCTTTGTTCTTTTTCTTCTGTACGGATATTTCATTTTTCTCACTACTGTCTTCACCAGCATATTTCATATCTGTAAGTAAATTTTCTCCCGGTTCAGCTCTTTTGTTTTCAAGCTTTTTTCCAGTCTCCTCATTTGCCTTTTCAAAATTCTTACTCAGTGCTGTCTGATCACCCTTAACTTTTAACGGTTCTTCTTGCTTTTCCTGCATCCTCTTAGGACCATTTTCATCATGCTCTTTATCAACTTTCTCAGCACTTTGCATGCTTAAGAATTCTTCTAATGTTTGTTTGCCTTTCTGCAGTTCAGACACCCACTGACTTGCTTTTTCAACACAATCCTTCACACCAACAATATAAAGATAGCCACTCTCTTCTATGTGCAGGACTACTAATCCAGGCCATGTTTGTTTAACTTGTGCAACAAGTAAATCCTTTTGATGTTTAAGGTCACCTTTGATTATACATGTCTTTTCTATAATCAGTCTTGCTATTTCATCTGATGCCCTTCTTAAGCTGTTTTTTTCCAATGCATATATATAAATCTCGTCGGTCTTTTGTAATGTTACACATTTAATGCCTAATTTTGAAAGATGTTCATCAAGGACCTTATCAACTTCAAGTTCTGGTATAGCAGACCTTGCTATTATATGAAGTGTACATCTTTCTGACACAATATGTCGGCTAATCCGATTAAATTCTTGCTTTGCTAAATTCACAGCTCTCTCAGGTCCAGTAAAGATTACTTTAAACTTATCTGGGCATGTCTCAAACACAATTTTTAGTTTGGTGGAACTACAAAGCAACTTTAAAGTTTTCTCAAGCTCCATCATGTGCGCCAATTTAATACAAACTAGAGATGTCTCAATTGTTTCTTTTATTTTTTTATCTCCTGCAAGTCTTACGTCTTTTAAAGATTCTAAAACTGACTTCTGATCACATGTCCTATATACAATATATAATTTGTCTTTTAAAACTTCGGCATGAATACCTACTTTCTCTTGCCTTAATTGTTGCATGCACATGTCAAATTGGTTACATGCTGTAACCATTTCTCTTACACACAGGCTTTTTCCAAGTTCATCCATCGCATGATTAAAGACAGAAGTACCTAAGTCTTGTAAAACTTTTTCATTATCAACTTTCATTTGAACCTGGACAACACAATCCGAAGTAACTGTACCTGGAATCTTTTTTCTCTTTAGGAGAATGTTTAATTGCTCAAGCCAAGGAGGTAAATTGAGAATAAACTGCCATTTCATATACTGCATTATAGTACAAGGCACATCAAAAGCAATCACCTTTTTCTGTTTGTCACTGTCTTGAAACCACATTGATATCCTTACTGAAATACCTTTAAAAGATGTTGGTTTGTTCAAGTATCTATCAAATCCTTCCATTAATAAAATAAATAATGACCAAGAATATATGCAGAACATCCAATAAAATCAAAGTTATAATAGTAAATTTAAGAAATGTTCAATAATTTGACCTTACAGGTCAAAGTCGTTTAAAGGTCAAAGTCAAACATGATTTGCTCGATATGGGAGTTTAAATACGCTTAGTGTTGTTTTGTTAAAGTATTAATCAAAATCCATCCATTAATAGCTTAATTTAATATAGCAAATTTTAGAAAAATTCAACAATTTGACCTTAAGGGTCAAGGTCATTTAAAGATTACAGTCATACTTGTGCATTTAATGCCAAGTCTTGTTTTGTAAGTATTAATCAAATCCATTCTATAAATAACAAAAATATGGCCATAATCTTTCGACGGCCACAGCGTAATAAAACGTACCGAAAAATCAACTTCTCAAAAGCTGGGCGCTATAGTCATAAGAAGGCTATAACGTAATAAACTGGTATAAAATTTTGGCTTCCTGAAAGCCACTACTGTTTGTCGTAGGAAGGCCAACAAAATTTAGTTTTAAATGACTAAATGCTTGAAGTTTACCTTTCATTTATTTCATTCTGTTTAATGTTGTTCAAATAAAAACACCAAATATGTTAATTGTATAGTGCCCTTTATTGACAGATACAGTAAATGTTTAGATATACTGTACACTTTTTAATTAATGAGGTAATCAAATCGATATCCAAATTAATTGAAGAAAATCTTCTAAATGGTATAGTATTTTAAAATGCATTTATTCATACACCAAACAGAGTTTCTGTAAGCAGTTCTCTTATTTGAAACAAAAATTAGTTGAACTTACACAATTCACGTTGAAAAGCATAATATCAATCACCCTTCCTGAGAAAAATTGATTTTCATTGATTTTCAATAATTACGTTTTAAAACGTTGTGGACGTTTTACTCAACATGGTATTCTAATGGCCGTGGTATGAAAGGACAGAGGCAAGTCGTGAACAACAAAATGCTATATAGGTAAATAACGTAAAATTTACCGTTTTAAAACGTTCAGAACTTGTTTTAAATACATTATTCAGAAAACAAGGATTGTAAGTCTGTTTGAACGTAATATTAACAGTGTTATATGGTATGGCTTTGTAATATTTCGATTTTCATAAACACATTAAAAAAAACAGAATGTACGAAAACGAGGTTAATACGGGGTTGCATGAAACAAAATTCAAATTTTACGCTGGTTTACGCTACGGATTCTAGAAAGGTATATTTTTGATAAGTTTAACTACGCTATGGACTTGTGTCGTAATATAAGACTGGCTTTCAGAAATGTAAAAATTCGATACGTTTTCTTACGCTTTGGCCGTCCTACGGGTATAGCGGATGGCCGTCGAAAGGATATTGAGCAAAATTCAATAATTTTGGGTCAAGGTCAATTTAGGTGAAAGTGAAGTTCAGCTTTACTACTCAAAGATATTGTTTAAAAGAGTGTTGTGTTAAAGTATGGATAAATACATCTATTGACAAAGTTATAGCCAATAATAACCAATTTAAGTAATATTTTAACCAATTAACCTTGAAAGTAAAGGTCATTTATCAGTCAAGGTGAAAGTCCTTAAGAATTACACAATTATTTCTGTAAAGTTTCATTAAAAATGGTTGAGCAGTTAAAAAGAAGAAGCACACACAGATGGCCAGACAACAAATTGACGGGCAGCCTAAAGCCAATGTACCCCCATTGCAACTTTCATTGTGTGGGGTGGGATAATTACAACTTACATTGGGGGGAGGTTATTATTAGTATGATGTTTTACCACTGATGTCTTCAGGAGAAAATAGTATTGGTGCATCATAAGAGTCATCTTTCCTTGTTGTCTGCTGTACTCTTGTTCTGTCACTGACTGGTATCTGTGACACATCTGACTCATGACCGTGAGATCTGTCTCCCATATGTGACACTGACAGCTTTAACTGAATGTAAATATCAACAAGAACTGTCGGAGGACAGTAACGCTCGACTATTCGAAAATTTGTCACAAGGGTGTTTCATTGAGTATAATAATGCTTACCTATATGAATACATAAAATTGTCCGAAAAGGTACAAACTCTTCAAGTTTCAATACATTCCCTTCAGTAGTTATGGAGATACAAGCTTACATGCAAAAACTTAACCAAGAATTTATGAGTCGAAAAAGGGGCATAATTATGCAAAAAAGCAAATCAGAGTAATGGGACTTGTACCAATCAATCTAAGATAATCACAGAGACCAAGTGTGTGAAGTTTCAATCCATTCCCTCTAGTAGTAATGGGAGATACCAGCTTACACGCAAAAAACTTAACCAAGAATTTCTAAGTCGAAAAAAGGGCCATAATTATATTAAAAAGCAAATTAGAGTTATGGGACTTGTGCCAATCATCTTAGATAATCACAGAGAACAAGTGTGTGAAGTTTCATTCAATTCCCTTCAGTAGTTATGGATGATACCAGCTTACATGCAAAAACTTAACCAAGAATTTCTAAGTCGAAAAAGGGGCATAATTATGTAAAAAAAGCAAATCAGTGTTATGGGAAACTTGTGCCAATTATCTTAGATAATCACAGAGAACAAGAGTGTGAAGTTTCAATCCATTCCCTTCAGTAGTTATGGAGATACCAGCTTACACGCAAAAACTTAACCAAGAATTTCTAAGTCGAAAAAGGGGCACAATTATGTAAAAAAAGCAAATCAGAGTTTATGGGACTTGTGCTAATCATCTTATATAATCACAGAGAACAAGTGTGGTTGAAGTTTCAATCAATTCCCTTCAGTAGTTATGGAGATACCAGCTTTTACATACAAAAACTTAACCAAGAATTTCTAAGTCGAAAAAAGGGGCATAATTATGAAAAAAAAGCAAACCAAAGTTATGGGACTTGTGTGCCAATCATCTTAGATAATCACAGAGAACAAGTGTGTGAAGTTTCAATCCATTCCCTTCAGTAGTTAAGGAGATACCAGCTTACATACAAAAACTTAACCAAGAATTTCTAAGTTGAAAAAGGGGCATAATTATGAAAAAAAGCAAATCAGAGTTATGAGACTTGTGCCAATCATCTTAGATAATCACAGAGAACAAGTGTGTGAAGTTTCAATCCATTCCCTTCAGTAGTTAAGGAGATACCAGCTTACATACAAAAACTTAACCAAGAATTTCTAAGTCGAAAAAGGGGCATAATTATGAAAAAAAGCAAAATCAGAGTTATGGGACTTGTGCCAATCATCTTAGATAATCCAGAGAGACACAGGTGTGAGTTTCTCATTTCCTTCCTTCAGGTTATAGAGATCCAAGCTTACGATGCAAAAACTTAAAACCACAGGGACGCCGCGCCAAACAAATGGGTGACTGCTTAGCTCGATTATTCTGGAAATAGTCGGAGCAAAAAATCATATTTTACAGCAAATAAAAACAATAAATAACTAGAGCCACACTCAACTTTTTTTTATGTCTTTAAAGTCAAACACAAACTTTTATAAAATATTTTATATTCAAATTTAATAATGAATCTTACCAAAAAAACAGTAATCTTTGAAAAAAGTCATTCAAATTTATTTTTTAACTAGACGTCAAGTTCTTTACGAACAAGGGCATACTATAAAAAAATCATTCAAAGGGGGTTTTTTTCATAAGTTGTGGTTTTTGCCCCTATAAAAATTTAAAACTTCATTTTACTAACAGTCAATGCGAAAGTCAAAATTTTTTACTCAGCCACAAGGACTGGGATCCTTAAATTTATTTCCGGCCCTGATGATTTTTTTTCCCGGCCCGGACTCTAAATGGTATTTTTTGTAGGGGTGGGGGGGGAGGGATAATGCATAATTATAAACAAAAATATTTTAGCAAATATGAATTATCAGACTCAACTATTAGAATTACTTCGAAAAAAAATATACAGAAACATAATAAATAAAACATTACATTGTATAATTCATAAGGAAACGATACATCTTTTAAACGTTTAATTTGAAGATTGGAGAAAAAATATGTTTTGGTAAGGAAAATTATCCAAGACTAAGATGATGCTTACATTATTTAGCAAAAACTGGTTGTATCTTGCGGGTGATTTTGGTTATCTGGGTCTTTGAATACAAGCAAAAATGAAAAAAAGATCGATCTAGGAAGTTTGCATATTTTAGAAGGCCAAAAAATTGTTTCAAAGTGGCTGAAATTTTATTCGGACATGAGGACTGACTGTATCGAAATTTATCTCGGCCCTCCTGATTTTTAGTTGGCGAGGTCCGAGGACCGACAGACTTTCGCACAGACTGTTATAATAGAAAATAAATTATTTGATAACAATAATTTGACAAGTAAAGTAGAGCTGAAAATTTGTGCTTTGTCATCTGTTCTAACAGTATAGTACATTTACTTGTTATTTATGAATAAAATACACCTAAAGACTGCAATAGCCATAATCTTAAGAATTGAACAAAGCAATTTTTTGCCATCAAGAATATTGTTTTCTTACATTTCTATAATGTTATATCAAAGGAAATTAATTCAAGAAGTAAATTTAAATTGCATATGATAGACAATTATTTCACTGGGGAGGCCAAATAAGGCCCTTTATTTAGTGAAACACTTTCATATCATAGATATTAACCTTGTATGTAAATGATGAATATTGTTATAGTTTACGAATACACAGTATATAACATACCATATCTACATTCTGCTTCCTCATCTACTTTATCTTTCTTATCTGATTGACTTTTAACTTGCTTTTTGTTTGTAGTGGGCATCATGAACTTGTGCCTGTTCACCATGAGCTTGTACCTGTGTGCCATGAACTTGTCCCTTTTCATCATGAACTTGTCCCTGTGCATCATGCACTTGTCTCCTTTCAGCACGAACTTGTCTCTTTTCATCATGTCCCCGAGCACTTTGAACTTGTCCCCTTTCATAATAAACTTGTCCCTGTGCATCACGAACTTGTCCCCCTTCATAATGAACTTGTCCCTGTGCATCACCAACTTGTCCCCCTTCATAATGAATTTGTCCCTGTTCATTACAAACTTGTCCCCCTTCATCATAAGCTTGTCCTTGAGCATCACGACCCTGTCTCCTTTCATCATGTCCATGTATGCTTTGAACTTTTCCGTTTTCATCATTTACTTGTCCTCTTACATCATGAGCTTGAACATTTTCATCATGAACTTGTGTCTGTGAATCATGAACTTTTCCCTGTGCAATATTTCCCTTAAGTGACCTATCCATCATGCTTTAGTTTATTTTAAACTGTCCAAATCAACATCAATCATGTTCACTTTTGTTGTTTCACCTGTGAAAGAAATGGTTTTAGGTATAATCTAATTAAATATAAAGTATTTGCAACCAAATCACATGTAAATAGGCAAATGTGATATATGCAGATAACTGTCACAGTTGCTAAGGTTATATTTATGTTGAGGAAATAGGGGATTAGTTAAACAAAAGTGACTTTTTCATTATAATGAAGTTAAAAAATTACACAGGATTCACCAGTACAGATAAATAATAGAAAATGTGAGAAAACAAAACTAGAACTGCCACTATCATGGCGTGAATACCCCCGCATACCACTTTGTCAGAATCAACAGTGGCCATTTAGAACTCAAGGACAACCACCCTGCCAAATCTGAGGTGACTAAGCCAGTGCATTGCTAAGTTATGTATTCTACATGCTTCAAATGTGAAAATGTCAAAAATCAATACACTCTGGACAGGCATTGGGGAAAAGCTTTATTTTTGACAAGGTCCCTGTGACCTTGACCTTTGACCCAGTGACCTCAAAATCAATACGGATCATTTACTAATCATGACTAACCTCCATGCCAAAATATGAAGACTGTGGGTCATAGGGAACCTTAAGTTTTTGGGCGGACAAGCTTTTTGAAGTCAAGGCCCCTGTGACCTTGACCTTTGACCTGGTGACCTCAAAATCAATAGGGGTCATCTACTAATCACGACTAACCTCCATGCCAAATATGAAGACTGTGGGTCAAAGGAATCTTAAGTTATTGGGCGGACAAGCTTTTTGAAGTCAAGGCCCCTGTGACCTTGACCTTTAACCTGGTGACCTCAAAATCTATAGGGGTCATCTACTTATCATGACTAACCTCCATGCCAAATATGAAGACTGTGGGTCAAAGGAATCTTAAGTTATTGGGCGGACAAGCTTTTTGAAGTCAATGCCCCTGTGACATTGACCTTTGACCTGGTGACCTCAAATCAATAGGGGTCATCTAATTATCATGACTAACCTCCATGCCAAATATGAAGACTGTGGGTCAAAGGAATCTTAAGTTATTGGGCGGACAAGCTTTTTGAAGTCAAGGCCCCTGTGACCTTGACCTTTGACCTGGTGACCTCAAAATCAATAGGGGTCATCTACTAATCACGACTAACCTCCATGCCAAATATGAAGACTACGGGTCAAAGGAATCTTAAGTTATTGGGCGACAAGAAAAAACCGCCGGACGCCGGACGGCCAGACGGACAATCTGATTCCAGTATACCCCCCTTACAACTTTGTTGTGCGGGGGTATAAATATAAACATAATTACTGTTATACCTAAGTTATATTTAATATTCATTCACTATTATGTTCAAATTCTATCTACATTCTAGGAGTTTACATTTAAGGTCCTGTTACTATATGTTAGCAGTCCTATATAATAAAACAAGGTTCCAGCAAAACTACAAGTAGTTCTATCTCAAAACATCAGACCATTTTTCGTAATAAAGCCATGTACATAGTTTCAAGCCAAACATTTTTATGGAAGTTTTTTTCTTCATTTTCCAAGGATACTGAAGGCACTTTCTTTTCCTCTTGTTTTGCATTTATTATGGCAAACACGACATGAGTAACAGATGACAGAAACTACTGTACATGTTCAAGAAAAAAATTCATAGTATTCCTACAATTTATATATGGAGTCTCTGGATACTTTAAATGACTTGGAATATGTTTCAAATATCATTAATATCATTTATCAATCCTAACTGAAGAACTTTAATGATATTTAGTTTGCAGGGAAATACTTAAATAAAAGATTAAACTTTCAAAATTCATGCTGTGGATTGTTTTATTAGTGAGACTTCTTTTATAGTACCTTAAAATATCCAGCTGCGAAAGGGCCTCCAGGGTAAATAACAGCTCACAAATTCGAGTATACAAGGTTGATCACTATGTCACAATGTTACAAGGTCATGCATATGACAAAGTGGGAAACATTTTCATTGAAATGATGACTAGTAATTTTTTACACATAAACTCATTCGTGAAATTTATTTCAATACTAAGAATATTATCATATAAACGCACATGTTGCATGTCTATTTCACACTTCTCTTGCAGAGCTGTATATCAGTTAAGTTTATAAGTTTAAAATTTTCATACTTTATTTCTAAAAACAGGTCTTAAAGCAGCACGCCTCCAGATTCATGCATTGCTAATTTTCATGAAAGTTTTAAAAATGAATTTAAAAGTAAAATATTAAGTAACCAAAAGGAAGCAATTTACACATTACCAACCCATGTAAATGACCAAAATGAGATGAAAATATTCAAAATTGTCTTAACTGTGTTAGTAACACAGTAATAATATGGTTATGATTGAATACTGAAAAATCAATCATTAATTGCACATAACATGAAAAATTTTTACTTAATTCTTGGACCTTTTTACTTTTCATAAATTCTTAGAATATTTTTCTCAGGTTTGATTTAATATAAATATTTTGGCTCATCTGGAAGCATGCAGCTTTAAATCTAAATCAATGTGAAAATTTAAATTCCATAATATGCCCAACTTATTTTCATTTCTTCTACAACAGAACATAGACATATAATCATCTGAAAACATAATATACAGATTTGCATTTATTTCGGGTTTTCAATCCTGTCAAATGTACAAATCAATTATTTAGCTTTGTCTAATTAAAGGTATCTTAACTATTTACATTGAATATATATGACAGACATTTCTCTTTATCTGTTGGACACTAATACATTCTATCAATTTTGGTCCAAAGTTTTGAACTTCAATGTAAAAAACTCATTCATTTTTAAAAATAAAGATAATTATGTTTCTGAAATGTATGGGTTTTTTTTAATAATTTACTAACTGTATGCAAACCTCTTTAAAATTTGCATTAATAATTGTATTATAATAATTGTATTTTTATTGCTAATTAGGAGTACTCTGAAATTGATTATATAAAGTCTTCCTTATGCACTTAAATGTTGAATCTGGTGTTTCAATATTATATGACAGTGCCTGGGTAGACTTTAATCTTATCAGTGTCAAGTTGTTTATTGGGTGGTCAGTATTTACTTTACTGATTAGGTGCTTGTCTTGTTACCCTAGCCAACCCTACCTTGTGGCAACATTTACAATTTTGGGAAAGTCATAAATCACAAAAAATACTAGCAAAATTGTTTAAGAAATATGGCTCTTTAAATTAATTTGATGATTTCTAAAAAGAGACAAAATCTTTTTTTATCCTACCATTTACATGTATCTAATATGTCCTTGTCAATCTCAGTTTGAGAATTAAAGGTTGTTAAATAATGTAATATAGAAAATAAAGGGCCAACTATCAATTATCAGAACAGAATGGAACTTTTTTATATCATCATATTCCATACAATTTCCAAGCTAAATTTCAAGTCAATAATTATCATACTATTTGTCTCTAAAATCAACAGATAACTATTCATACTTTATTCATAAAAAGAGTAGATCACTTAATTTGTAAAATCAGTTAAAAAAATACACAGCTGTTGATCACGCCTAGTTGAGATTAATAATAATCTATAATAATTTTACTATTAATGACAATACAAATGAGCTGAATATCTTTTGCTATGAAAACGAAAGTAGCGAATATAATTTGTCATTCTTCATAATAACATTTCCGATGAAATGGCAGCAAAATAAAAGGAAGAGCAAAATCATTGTGGTAACCTCAGCGAACATTTCTGGTCGTTTTTCAAATGAACTCTGTAATCTATATCTACTTGTTTGTGACTGTTGAATCTTTAATCTCGGTTCTTTCAAAACGAAAGTAGGTGTATTGGGACCTTCCTATAATATGTAAATTAGAAAATTAAACACCTGCAATTATTTTACTTACTTCAAGATTTTTTATGCATATAATTTTAATCTTAAAATTGATTTAAATTTTCTATGACATTTCCTACACCTATTTGATCTAAAACAGATGGTAGTTTTGATCATCAAAGAAACTATAGCTTGTCCCCAATTAAATGAATTGACCAATGAAATCATGTTACATATCATGTGGCCCAAATTGACCAATGGAATGATTTGTACTTGAGCGCGTTCATTGACATTGCCAAGATGGCGTCATCCTTGTAGTTTTTATAAAACAAATTATTTTAGGTGAGAAAAAATAACTTAGTTAATATAATGCTCATTAGATTTATCCACAAACTAAAGTTTTGATAGACTGTATTCTTTATGTATTGATTGTGTTTGAAATTTGCCTATTTAATAGGTTATTTTTTGCTGATAATGGTCGTTTGAAATTTGCGGACCGAAAATAAAAAAAATATTATTTGTTGCAGGGCAGGAAAATTTTATTCTCTCAAATGATGTGAATTTCATAAATTCTATAATATTGACATACACGTCTAATATGCAAAAGGCAAAGCCTCAAAGCAAGCTCGATTTTCTTTTACCTTAACTTAAGATAGTTTAAAATAATCGTTCATTTTTATTTTACATTTTCCGTTTTCAAATTGTCATTCGGGATTTTATACACTGCTCCTGTTTATTCTGGTTCCCCCTTTCTATTATGGTTCCTATAATATGAAATTAGGCAAAGCCTATGAACGGGGAAGTCGTTAAAAATTTCTTTCATTTTTTCCGTTTTAAAATTGTCATTCGGTATTACATGCACCGCTTCCGTTTTCACTCGGAACACTCGACGTTTATTATTTATCCGAAAAGTTGAGATTTGTTCCGTTATCGGAATACCCCGCCTTTTATCATTGAGTTACATTGTAAATGGCGGCGCCCGACTTGAACTGACACTGAAAATTTCATTGATAGGTATAGAATTCTATATATTTTTTAATTGTTTTTTTATTTGATTTTCTTTTAAATATACACGTGTAGTCTATAGCCGGGCAAGCCAAAGCCCGGACCTCCTATATTAGTGCACATGACACCAGTCAACGCTTCCGTTTTCAATCAGAGTACATTGGCTTTTATCGTTATCTTGGTGTAATCTTGCCATACACCCTTCATAATAAAACTCTCAAATCAGCAGAATCTGCAAAATACCTTGGAGTAACTATCTCTAAAGATCTAAACTGGACACAGCATATAAATAACATCACCTCCAAGGCCAAAAATTCTCTAAGATTCATCCAGAGAAACGTCAAAACCCAAAACAGGCAACTCAAAACATCAGCCTATGCTACTTATGTCCGACCACAACTAGAATATTGTTCCACCATATGGCACCCCTGGCAGAAACATCTAAGTCATAAGATTGAAAGTGTCCAACGAGCTGCGGCCAGATATGTCTGTAATAATTATAATTTCGACAGTAGTGTAACCCAAATGCTAAATGAACTTGGGTGGCCTTTCCTAGAAAGCCGCAGACTCCAATCCTCTCTAGTAGTGTTCTACAAAATCCAATACAAACTTGTATACATATGTTGACCATAACCATCTGACCCCAACTAGAAATTTGAACTTCCTGATCCCCCAGTCCCGTACCCAATATCATCTAAATTCCTACTTCCCTAGAACCCTCAGGTATTGGAATAGCCTTCCATATCAGGTCAAATCCATTCCCAACCTAGATACCTTCAAGGATAGGCTGGCGACAGTCACCTTCTAGTCCCCCTCCCCAGTATGTTTTTAATCTTGCACTATTCTTTTTATCCTGCACTTTTTTTATCTGTGATCTTTATCTTTTAGTATGCACTAATTCTTTTAACACAGTTTTCCTGACAAGCGCCTCCCAGTCATAGTCAGAATTGATTGTTCGGGAGTAACATGTAGATGTAGATCTTGTAATTCGTAAAGATGCGATGTGTCCAATTCGGTACTTCAGACGAAAGTTTTCAAAACCATCACTTAGTAGGTACTCGCGTTACCGTAAAGCTCGCTTTGCGAGCAGGCCCTTCGGGCTAGCTCGTCGAGCTTGCTATAATAGAACATTTGATCCATGAATTGCTCCCTTGGTAATTTGATATTTTGGGACTCCAATTGTAGTTTCCAAAGGTTGGTGTCTTCTTGCTTCAGTAGCAAGTGTCTGTAAATCCTTGCTTCCATAGAAGTTTGGAAATGGCTAGCCATATGGCACTTTTAAAAAATATATAAAAGTCGAAAATGCATATGTTACTTTGTGTCTCTAAAACGACGATTTTAACTTGTAAATAAATGAAATAGATATATAATCATAACGGCCAAAGAAGCTTGTTTCATAAAGACATGATCTGAGTCAGGGCCTTTTCACTAGTTTAGGAGAAGGCGCCATAGCCCTATTTGTGGGGAAAAAATGTGCGGTTTCCATACTTTTGGGGAAAATATATTTTCCACAGGCAGTCGGTGTGTGGTTCTATAACCAGATATACGATAAATACTTATTTAAATCACACATTTGGGGGAAATATTATAATATATTTGCATATTTTCCTCCACTTTAGGAGCTTTCTGTCCAACATAAGTTAACATATTAAACATAGTAAAAGGGATTTTTTTCCAGATCATTTTATTGCCACTTTATATTTGCCCAAGAATACCTTGACTCATATTTCCTAATTATAGAAAATTTGTGTAGGACATGTGAGGGTTCTTGATTTGATTCAGAGGGAACATTATCATCAGTTACCACTGTATCACTATTACTGGCACTGTTGTGCTAGGCTCACTATTTCCCAAGTGTAAAACATTTCCCACACTTGGCCATGTTGTGCTACTTGGACACACAAACTTGCAAGGGGATACATGTATTGAATTCTCTTGCACTTACAGGAAGGTCAACAATTCGTGCAATTTTAGTAAACAATTACAAACATCACTCGATTGTATTTTCTACTTGTTCTGTGACATTGTTTACATTTGGGACATCGTAAATTGGTCGCCGTATTGTTGTAAAAAATCACGTGTGCAATAAAAAATAAGGCAGCAGGGTTTTCCCATGTTGCTTTTAGAAAGTTGCAAACTCAGACCGAGGCTGTGAGTTAACATCAATTGTATTGAATCAAGGTATCCCTCTAGTGGGTAATTGAATAATTAGCTTTCATTGGACAAAAACAACGATCTATTTTTAAACAAGAAAGTTTGTTTACAAGTTTATTTCTTCAATTAAACATTTCTTTGAAAGGGGAAATCTTCGCAAGAAGGAGAATTTTAGACTGTTTTTTGGGGGAAATAGGTAGTAAGTTGGCTTGGGGAAGTAGCCGAATACCGGCTACAGTAAAGAAGGGTAAAAAGGCCCTGGAGTGGAATAAATAAATAAATAAATAGAACATTAAAAAAAAGTAAGAAAAAAGCAAAAACAAAATGAACAAGTTATAGCAATTGTATAATTGTATTTTTAAATAGATAAATATCAAACATAAAATTTTTAATTCCTATAGTAATACTGTATACAATACAGAGACTGACAATAGAATTTTCTAAGGACGTGTTTCATGGAACATGTAAACTTTCCATAATATGATGGACAAACTTCTACTGTCAATAATTGACACAATTATCAGAGCACATTAAAGTTACATTTAATAGATTTTATAAAAAAACTAAATAGCGACATTTCATTAATAAATTGGGTTTTATATCGACTCCAGGTCTTACAATGTATTTTGGTGTCCAAACAACCAAAATGAGTTTTATTAGCATAAAATAGGTAACCTCATTGTGGCGAAATGGGAAATACAATTTCTGTTTCACTGTTTGCATGAGAAACTCCGCCTTCGGATCATCCATACATCTATATTAAATCAACAAACATGACTATAAGTGGCAGTCCTAATATAACCGTCAACTTTAATGGTATATTTCCGCATAATTTGTAACGGATGTTTTCATACAAATTTAATCATTTTACGAGATTATTACTTTTACTGAACCCCAGGTTTAGTGCACCGTGATGCTTAAACGGTTAAAGTGTGTTTGCACAAGAAAATATCACATTTGCTGTGTTCCGGATAGCAACTATAAAACTGTGACGTAGCGCATACACGAGCTCATTATAGCCTCATTTGCATGTTAAAATTTGTATACAAACTTTAGTGGTACCGTGGGGTTTCCCGTTTAAAATCCTAATTTATGAACAATATTTGATGAGATTTACAACAATACTATTAAACAGGTTAATGAAACTGTAGAATGTTTGATTTTTAGGCCGACGGCAAAATATTTTTACATATTTATTTAATGTAACTTTAACAATTATTTTCGGTACTTTTTTCATTTTTAAAGATGTTGAAAATTAAATTTTATTGAAACAAAAAGGATTATTATAATGATTATGTATACAGAAGATTTCAATTGCTGTTATTCAACTGCAACTATATAATCGCTTTTTTCTAGCCATCTGGAGATGACAGCGATCGATAGCCAACATGGCAACTCATATACATACCAAGACAATTGCTGTTTCCTGGTTTAATCCTCTTTAAAGACATAGAATTTCATATAAATTAAAAAAGTGCAGTTGAAAAGATCTAACGATGAATGACTGTGACATATTTCAACAATGGGCAATTTTGAAATTAGAATCATTTACGTGATATATGAATGGATACAGCATGATATTGATAATTAACAATTTACAAATGATTTTTATTTTATTTTAAATATAACTTGTCATGAGACATGTAAGCTGACAGTTATTTTCGCTTGCACAGCGGCGGAAGAAATGGTGGCCATGGAATTGCCTGGAACATTAGATTTAATACTTTCTTTTTCACCAAAGACTTATCTGCGTTTCATTAGTGTATTATTATTATACTGTATAATCTAAACATTTTTGTAGAAATCATAATGTGGTTCCTTTAAATAATTAATTTCTGTCAGATTTCTGCAGAAAATATAGCAAATTCATCTGTTTGACATTTATCTGTGATGTAATAAATGCAGGTGCTTGTGGAATTTTACAAGAGCTTTAGGTTACTGGCCGCTGATTATTTTGCTGATTTTCTTATAAGAAAAGATGCGTTTCGATTGTATTTCTGGGTGAAAAATGCATGTTTTTTGTGTGACTGGGCATGCTGAGTCTTACAAGAATGATGTTCAATTCCATTGTTTTAAATGCATGGAGATTCTTTTATTTTAGGTAAGAAATGGCAACAAGTCAAGAAAAGATGAAGTCCCTATTTGAGGACCTTGGGAAACCAACATTGCGAGGGGTAAGGAAATGTCCAAAGTGTGGGACATACAATGGTACCAGGGGAATAAGCTGTAAAAACAAACAATGTGATGTTGTTTTTAAGGAGAAGGAGAAAAAGAAAACAAGCAGTTGTGAAGCTGTGAAAATTGTCACTGGCTCTACTGTTCAAGTTTTCTCTGTAAGACTTCGAGACAGGGGACCAGACTACAGAGGATTTGTTCAGCTTCCTTTGGTTCAAGATCTAGATGGGAATCCAGCACCTATGGTTGATGTGTCAATTCTTGCCTCGGCTGCCAGGTGTTATGTAGATGTTTGTACAAGAGCATCACAGATTGTCAATGAGACGTGTCCCCATATCAAAGCTGCAATAGAGTGTAATACCGAGGCCCAGCCTCTCACTTTAAAAAACTCTGTCCTTAACTCTTTACAAGTCAGTAATGAGATAAAACAAGCAATATGGCTGCTTGCCACAGAAACTACAGGTCCTCTTGTACAGCGTGTTTCTAAGAATATCATGGTTGTAAAGTGTAAGCCAAATCCCAAGCAGCCACTTGGTTTTTTACATTTTGCTTTCTTTGAGTCTGCAAAAGGTAAAACTCAAGCTCACAGATTCCAGTGTACGTGTAAAGCCTTTAAGGTACTTATAAATTTATTTCTTTATTATAATTTCTGTATTACATTCTTTTTAATGATATTGCTATGTAAATGGTATAATTGTGATTTAGAAATTGTTTTTCAATTCAGATCTGTGTTCTTTAATAAAAAAAATACTGGTACCCTATTGTTAATATTATTGAATTCTTTCTTATTTAAGTTATTGTCTTTGAAGCTATTTTAGTTTTAACATATTTTTCTAAGTTTGATTGTGAAACAAGTTCTTTCAACTTCTATTAAAATCAGCATCAATTCAGTTTTCTGTAACTAACCAGCACAGGGGGTGTCATATGAGGAAACATAGCCATGACCTGAATGAGACTTGAACACAAAAGTTGGTGTTCTTCACAACTTAACATTGTTTATACTGTACAGGGTGGTCCAAAGACTCCTGGGAACGATGATATATTCAAGAGATGTGTTCATTTTTATGCTTGTGTATGTGCATTTGCCAGTGATGAGAAGCTTCAAGAAGAATTTGCCTTCTATCTGGATCTTAATGGCGGCAGCGAGTCAAATACTAACTCCACAAACAATTCTGACTGTAAGTCTTCTAATACATTATGTGCTTTAATTGTTACTCAAACTAAAGTTTCATGTATTATGAAATTATAGGGCTGTCATTGATGGAAAATTTTGTATCAATATATCGAGAGACAAATATCGACCATATATTGATTTATCGACTTTGACAGTAGATGCAATGTAAAAACATTTAATTATGTGTGATCATGGTGTTAGACATTACAAATACAATGTACAACAAACTAACAGAAAGTTTGTTTTTAGTGACAGGGTGAGCTTTTGTGATCGCTTTTCGTCCGGCGTCCGTCCGTCCGTAAACTTTTACTTTAAATGACATCTCCTCATAAACCACTAAGCCAATTTCATCCAAACTTCACAGGAATGTTCCTTTGGTGGTCACCTTTAAAAATTGTTCAAAGAATTTAATTCCATGCAGAACTCTGGTTGCCATGGCAACCGAAAGAAAAAATTTAAATATCTTCTTTTAAAAAACCATAAGAGCTAGAGCTTAGATATATGGCATGAAACATCTTCTAGTGAGTGTCTACCAAGTTTGTTCAAATAAAAGTCCTGGGGTCAAAATTGGCCCCGTCCCGGGGAGTCATTGATTTTCCCTATATGCATATAGTAAAAACTTAAAAAATCTTCTTTTAAAGAACCCAAAGAGCTAGAGCTAAGATATTTAGCATGAAATATGTTCTAATGGGTGTCTACCAAGTTTGTTCAAATAAAAGCCCAGGGGTCAAAATTGGCCCCGCCCCGGGGGGTCATTGATTTTCCCTATATGCATATAGTAAAAACTTAAAAAATCTTCTTTTAAAGAACTCAAAGAGCTATGGCTAAGATATTGAGCATCAAACATGTTCTAATAGGTGTCTACCAAGTTTGTTCAAATAAAAGCCCTGGGGTCAAAATTGGCCCCGCCCCAGGGGGTCATTGATTTTCCCTATATGCATATAGTAAAAACTTAATAAATCTTCTTTTAAAGAACCAAATGAGTTAGAGCTAAGATATTAGCATGAAACATGTTCTAATAAGTGTCTACCAAGTTTGTTCAAATAAAAGCCCTGGGGTCAAAATTGGCCCCGCCCCAGGGGGTCATTGATTTTCCCTATATGCATATAGTAAAAACTTAAAAAATCTTCTTTTAAAGAACTCAAAGAGCTATGGCTAAGATATTTAGCATCAAACATGCTCTAATAGGTGTCTACCAAGTTTGTTCAAATAAAAGCCCTGGGGTCAAAATTGGCACCGCCCCGGGGGTCATTGATCTTCCTTATATGTGTATAGCAAAAACTTAAAAAATCTTCTTTGAAAAAACCCAAATAGCTAGAGTTTAGATATTAAGCATGAAACATCTTCTAGTAAGTGTCTACAAAGTTTGTTCAAATAAAAGCCCTGGCCCGGCCCCAGGGGTGTCTGTTGTTTTTAACTATATGTGTATAGTAAAAACTTAAAAAAAATCTTCTTTTAAAAAGCCCAATGAGCTAGAGCTTAGATGTTTAGCATGAAACATCTTCTTATGGGTGTCTACCAAGTTTGTGCAAATAAAAGCCCTTGGGTTAAATTGACCCTGCAACGTTGGGGGGTGGGGGTTGGGGGGTCTATATACAGGTGAGCGACCTCAGGGCCATCATGGCCCTCTTGTTTCTGTTATTTGTCACTGGTTAAATTTCAAGTTGGCCAAGAAAACTGTGAAGAAGTGACTTCTCTTATTAGGCAAAACAGTAGGTATATTCACTAACAGAAATAAATAAGTTTTAGCTTGTATCAATATTTGAAAATGTGTATTTTTGATATGGTATCAGATGATGAATATCGATTATATATCAATATTCAATGACAGCCCTATGAATTTATGCATCATTAGTGTCCAAATACATTTCAAGCTTACTATAGGTATTATACTTTATTATATACCAATAAATTTTCTTCTTTGAATACAAAATAAAAGCATTTTAATGCATTAAATGACTTTTTGTAATGTAGAGATAAACATCAAAGGACAACAGTTCCTGAAAATTAAAGAAAAAAAAGCAACAGAAATATTCTTTGGTCCCTTGAGTGTCAGAGTCTACTAGACATCCTGAATCATCCTGTATCATTAAAAGTAAATGTACTTTGTATAAACGCTTGTTGATTTGAAGCAAATTTTTGTTCTAGTACTTGGTTTGAGACTTGTTGGTTTAAAGCAAATGTTTTGTTCCAGTACTGGGTTTGAGGTTTGTAGATTTATAGTAAATGTTTTGTTCCAATACTGGGTATGAGACTTGTTTATTTAAAGTAAATGTTTTGTTCTAGTACTGGGTATGAGACTTGTAAATTTATAGTAAATGTTTTGTTCCAGTACTGGGTATGAGACTTGTTGATTTATAGTAAATCTTTTGTTCCAGGACTGGGTATGAGGTTTGTTGATTTATAGTAAATCTTTTGTTCCAGGACTGGGTATGAGGTTTGTTGATTTATAGTAAATGTTTTGTTCCAATACTGGGTATGAGACTTGTAAATTTATAGTAAATATTTTGTTCCAGTACTGGGTATGAGACTTGTTGATTTATAGTAAATCTTTTGTTCCAGGACTGGGTATGAGGTTTGTTGATTTATAGTAAATGTTTTGTTCCAATACTGGGTATGAGACTTGTTTATTTAAAGTAAATGTTTTGTTCTAGTACTGGGTATGAGACTTGTTGATTTACAGTAAATATTTTGTTTCAGTACTGGGTATGAGACTTGTTGATTTATAGTAAATATTGTGTTCCAGTACTGGGTTTGAGACTTGTTGATTTATAGTAAATATTGTGTTCCAGTACTGGGTATGAGACTTGTTGATTTATAGTAAATATTTTGTTCCAGTACTGGGTATGAGACTTGTTGATTTATAGTAAATATTGTGTTCCAGTACTGGGTATGAGACTTGTTGATTTATAGTAAATATTTTGTTCCAGTACTGGGTATGAGACTTGTTGATTTATAGTAAATATTGTGTTCCAGTACTGGGTATGAGACTTGTTGATTTATAGTAAATATTGTGTTCCAGTACTGGGTTTGAGACTTGTTGATTTATAGTAAATATTGTGTTCCAGTACTAGGTTTGAGGTTTGTTGACTTATAGTTAATGTTTTTACTGCCTCCGTGGTCAAGGGGTTAGAGTCGATGACTTCTAATTCAGGTACCTCTCTGGCGTGGGTTCGATCCCCGGGAGATGCTTTGGTAGTTTAGCGCGGAGGAAGGTAGTCTAGTACTGGTGTAACTCTCCAGGAACGATGGTTAGGAAACTACTCACTTTATATGTCTGAAATACTGTTGGAAAAAGGCGTAAAATTAAACAAACAAACAAACAAAACAAAGTAAATGTTTTGTTCCAGTACTGGGTATGAGATTTGTTGATTTATAGTATATGTTTTGTTCCAGTACTGGACTTATAGTAAATGTTTTGTTCCAGTACTGGGTATGAGACTTGTTGATTTATAGTAAATGTTTTGTTCCAGTACTTGGTATGAGACTGGTAGAAGAGATGCCAGCAACAATACCAGATCAACAATCAGATCAGTTGATCACTGTGTGTGAGGTGGATCTCAATGATCAGACCCAGGAACTAGAGGTAGTTGTCTCCGAGGAGTTAACAGAAACACCAGCTAAAAGGAAAAGAAAAGAGGAAATAGGTGAGAAAGTGTTTGTGTGTTCTTACAGAATCTTATGTAACAATATTATTGTTGTAAGTATTTAAAATAGTTTGTATTTTATCTGTAATAAATGTAGAATTTGTTTTAATGATTGATTTGGCATATCTGAGCTTACTATAGGCAATGAATATATAATTAAATAGAAGACCTATAGATCCTTATTGAATGTTAGGTCATTCTACAAAACTTTACAGCTATATCCGTATTGTATGAAAGAAAAATATAAGTTATTTTAAAGGTAAAAGCTAATACATAATCTTTTAGATAATGTCATTATACAATACTGTTACAGTTCAAGCAAGTAGTGCTCTATTAACTCTTCAAGAATCCAATATGAAACCTGGTCGAGTTGTTAATAACCATGGAAAACACACTCCACACAAAAATGTACAAGTTGCCGTCTCGAAAAAGCCAGGTAATTACTTTCTATATGAAACAACATAGCTATAGTTAATTGTAATATTTTACATGTCTACTAATTGCTATTGATATGGCACTTGATTACTGACTGGCATGTAAGATGTATTTGAAATTGAATTCAAATAAAATCTGCAGTCATGTATATGTGCTCGATGTGCAGTAAATAAAATGTTATATATATATCTCGGGATTGAGGGGGGGAGCACATTTTTTTTTGTCATTTTAAACTGTTTTTTTTTTCTAATGAAAACCAATTTTTAGATCAGTGAATAAAGGTTTGCAAGTGGGTATAAAAGATTTCTTCCTTCATAAGTTCATCTACATCTTTCAAGGGATTTCGTCCAAAAACATTCACAGAATATTTGTCACTTTGGGCTGAATTTTAGCCTTTGAAGGACATTTTTTGGAGTTTTCGCAAAAATAAAAACTGTTTAATAGTATTTCTCATAACTTGGTATGTTGTCAGAGTATGATAGTAGAAACATGTTAAGTGAACCAATTTTTTTTTTTAATTTGCCCATATGTTTATATGAAAACTCCTAAAAACGTCTTAAAAAGTTTGTTTTGCTTTTTTTTTCACAGATATATAATATTTGCTAAAAACTGGTTTTGTCACAATTACTTGTAATTTGTTAATGTTTTTGTTATGATATTCTAAGATCATGTTAAGTTTAAATAAAATCTATCATGGTTTTTGTTCTGCTATATGTCTGTTTGTCACTATGTCCAGCCTTTAAGTTTGTCTGAGCTAGATACTGGTCTTAAACATTGAGTTTTCTGTTTTTTTGTAGGTTTTTTCTCTCTTTTACTTCCTTACAGGTCGAAAAGCATAAAAACTTAACATTAAATATTTTTATATTTTTTGATCAAGTAGGGGCATTTAAAACAGATGGTCCAAAGGTTTATGAAGAAATATATACAAAAAAATGTATGAAATTTGTAGCCCAGTTGAGTGAAAAGCATTGCAATGCCTTTCAATTTAGGGTCATTTCTTTTTGATTAGAATGATTATCCTGGAAAAGCAGAGAGAGAGCTAACGGTCTGAAATATTGCACTTAATGAATTGGCCAAGAATTACATCAAATGGAACATAATTCCTGAATAATTATTTCCAGTTCATCAAGTCAAAAATCTCAGTTGAGTCCCTTTTATGCCAAAAACAAATTTTTAACAGTGATGCATATACAAATCTGACAAGACAAAACAGTTGTAATGCATGGCAACTGTCAAACTGTCAAACTTAAAACTTTAAAAAAATTATAAAGATTGTGACACAAACTTTGAAAATGATAATTGAAGACATATTATTAAATTTCAGTAAACCCTTATCAGATAATTGAGGAGACTGAAGTTGTAGCATCATTCCATTCCTGGTTAGCTAGTGTAACAGAGAGGATAAATCAAACCATGCATTATCAGTTTCCTGGTGAGTAACAAACTTTCTCACATCACTCAGGTGTTAAAACTTTGTAACTTTGTTATTTGAAGAATAGTGGCGCTATCTTACTCAAGTGGGTGTCTGTCTTAATACTTGTTAATGGTTCGCATATGTAACTTCTTGTATAACTTTGTTAACTGCTTAAAATGCTTTCTTGTTACTTCACACATGCTTTTAAATTATTATTTAAGGTAGATGTTTATGGCATTAAATGATTTTGACAAAACCATGTCCCTTTGTGAACTTAAAATATTCAGTTTAGATATTTGCATTCAGCATCAATCATCAAAATTGCAGGAGATATTTACTTAAAACTTCGTACATCTTTTTGATATAATAATTTTATGTCAATCTCCAAGGCTCATGACTATGTCTTGTATTTTTTGCTAACTCTTCCTCTTTATAAAATCCTTCATTATCTGGGCTCTTGTTTTACTATCAAGCATTAAGAATAAATGAGCATCCCTGCCATACTGACAGTTCTAGTTTCTGAGCCAGTTGCTATTTTTAGATGAATTTATGTAGCTCTTATATTCCAATCAACTTTTATCTTCAGAGCAACATAAAAATATTTAGCACTCATTTTTTTAACCTTTATTAAATAGATTAAGTGATGAATGGACTTTTGATCTCGGACTATCAAGTTGCTAACCAATACTTATACTTTTTTGATAGCTTGTCCAAAGCTGTATTTGTTTTATAACCATGTAGCTATTTATATTGTAATTGACAAGCTAATATAGTGAAATAATGGATTAGAAATTAGTTTATAACTTGATATTTATGCAAACTTGTAAAGTTTTGATATTTTACTAAACTTTAAATGTACTTTACCTATTTACAGGCACCCCAGACCCACTTGTGTTCCATGCACCTCAGTTCTTTTTTGACTGTCTACAGCAGAGGATATCTTCTGGATATAAAAAGAAAAGACTGCCAAATTTTACTACAGCATTTGTGAGAAAAGACGCCCTGCCCCTCGGCACATTTACAAAATACACATGGCATATAACAAATATATTACATGTTAAACAGATTTTTGATACACCTGAGGTATAACTTCATCATCACCTGTTACATTTTACGTTTTGATTTTTAATGTTAAATGTTCAAAATATCTCACACAAAAAGTTAATGTTTGAGCAGTTAAATTATTGTCAAAGCTGGGTACAATTTCCACTGAAGATGATGTATTAAATAATAAAAGGCCATAATTCACAGCCAAATTCATTTTATTAATCCATTTGAATTTAGACTAAATCATGTATTGTCAAGGTATACATACTTTAATTTCCAGATAATTAGTATAATATTTATTATATCTTAATACTTTATTGAGTCAAGACTAACTAATAAAATAATGATATTAAGATATTATCAATTTTATTTCAAAACCAGTAGAATTTTAACAATAATGAATGTACTTATTTGGAAGAATTCAATTATTTGAAAGTAAGGGCAAAGTAAACATTTTTTTTTTGTCAATCATTTTGATAAGACAAGTCAGAGAAGTGTTGTGTAATCAATTTATCCTATATTTTAATATTGAAATGTTTTATATCTGTTCACAGATGGCGTTAGAAATTACACGAAATTTTGTGGAGAATAGGGATTCGACATATGATCTATATGAAGTACCCAGAATAGAAGATGTCGGCGACAAAAGTCAGATGCCTATTAGACCATTTGAACTGAAAACATTTCTTAAAGTTGGTAAGTCATTATATACCTGTTAAAAGGGTATATTGCACATCAGGAAGGGGCACTTGTTATATGTTTCCCATTGGTAGAGATACACAAATATTAAATACACATTAGGCATTTATGTCTGTCTACAAATTAAAGAAGGAAAGTCACTAGCCCACTGTGTGTTCGAATCACGGCAGGGACTTTGGATTCTTTCATGTAATGAAGCTTGTCATATATAACTTCTGGGTTATGCATTGGTCACAAAGTTTACCCTTACCCTGCTGGTGTCTAAACTTATGATTAGCAGGCTCGTTGCTGTTGGCTGACCAACTACAAACTGTCATCTTTTTATATCAAAACAAGATTTATTTATATGATTTATTTATGACATTTAAAAGTTAGTATATTTTTGAGATATTATTGACCATTAAGATGCATGCTGTTTTGATATTGTAAAATAACAGTTGAAATTATGCTACAGTTCAGATTCTATGCATTCTTTTACTTGGGCACCATAAGACTCTTTTCATGGAATGTTATTAACATGTCACATTGAACGTTCCAAGATAACGGCCGTATGAACACATATGCAGATGTTTCAAAATTTCACAATTTTCATGTGTAAAGGTTTGTGTTCTGCTTAAGCTGGGATGCTAGGGGGCATGGACATTAACTTGCATTTTTCAGTACCGTTCATTAACCGGGTCAATCGAACCGAGTTTTCGTTATTTTCATTTTTAGCTCGACTTTTCTATGAAAAGGGGAGCTATCCTACTCGCCCCGGCGTCGGCGTTGGCGTCACACCTTGGTTAAGTTTTTCGTACCACCCCACTTTATTTCAGAAGTATTACAAGTATGGCTTTGAAACTTACCATACTTGTTCACCATCATAACCTCCATCTACAGACAAGAGTACATAACTCTGTCAAGGTTTTTGACAGAATTATGGCCCTTTTTTGACTTAGAAAGTGTATTGAGCTTGGTTAAGTTTTTTGTACCACCTCACTTTATTTCAAAACCATTGGAGGTATTGCTTTGAAACTGACCATACTTGTTTACCATCACGACCTTCATCAACAGACAAGAGGACATAACTCTGTCAAGGTTTTTGACAGAATTATGCCCCTTTTTGACTTAGAAAATACATTGAATATGGGTAAAATCCACTTATTGCCTTAACCCTTTGAGATATTGCTTTGAAACTTTTAATGCTATTTCACATCATTACCCCCATCTGTACGCAAGAGAAGGTAACTCTGTCAAGGATTTGTTTTAAAAATTAAGGCCTTTTATCGACTTAGAATCTTGGTTAAGTTTTTAGTACCAGTCCACTTTTTGACTGAACTGTTTGAGATATTAATTTGAAAGTTGGAATACTTGTTTACAATCATGATTCCCAAACATGTCCAGGAGAAGGTAATTCTGTCAAAGATTTTATTTGAATTATGGCCCTTAACTGTCAATGTTTTGTATTATAGGCAAGCACTAAAAAACTTAAAAAATCTAAAAAAATTCATTCCTATCCACTTGTTCACTTTACCAATACCTTATTCTCTCAAAGTGGGTTTAATACTATTAAATTTATTTAAGGCTCAACTCAGTTTTTTTTTCTTTCTTACCAGCCCTCTTTTGACTTAAACATTTCAAACTTTGCTGCAGTGTTCAAGGGTATCACACAATTCAGTAAAATAATTCTTCACTAAATATCTTAATGCTCATGGCCATTGTTCACTTTAAAAATACAGAGATTCTTGTATTGCCTTTTACTGCAAAAACTTTTTTTATTGGCAAGCAATAAAAAAGTCGAGCGCGCTGTCTTACGGACAGCTCTTGTTTTGTCATTTTGTGAATTCTTTCGGGATTCTTGTTTTTTTCTATATTACATGTATTTATTTATTTTGACAATTTGAAGGTAATACTCAAGCTGATCAGAGAGATCCAACTCCATTTATCATAGAATGGATTCCAGATATCCTGCCAAAATCTCACATAGGAGAACTGAGGATCAAGTTTGAGTATGGTCACCAGCGTAACGGACATATAGAAATGAGGGCAGCCAATGCTTCAGAACCTACCCCAGTATCAATACATCCAAATTTACACATGAATCCAGTGTTATGAACACACAATTTTCACACCATATCACTGGCTGCAAAATTTGATTCCATTTTAAGTATTGAACAGTGATTCTTTTATCTAACTTTTCTAGCTGTCTTTTATAAGAACTGTGAGGGTATCTTGGCACCTGTTTGTAAAATAATTAACAGCCATATTAGATGACAGTTCTTTTAATACCCATCTTTACAGTCTTTCACACTCTTGCACACATGTTTTTAGGATATCATTGTATATGGGGATAAACTTGAATAGCTATCTGGTATCAATTTCTCGATTTGTTATATAAATCTTTACATTATCTTCTGTAAGAAATTTTATACAGTGTTAACCAATTTTGAAAGAAAAATAAATGATCAATATAAATTTGGCATATGTCATGTATTTCAAATTTATGTTTGTAGATGAGAAATGGAGAAAGATGTATGCAATGTCATTTTTAAAATACATGTATGTTAAAATGAAACGTGTTCATTTTGTTAGACAATACTTGTTAAATAGCTTGTGCTTAAAAAAAAAGAACACTGGAAAAATGATTCCTGTTATTGAGTGAGAAATTATGTCTGTGTCGGACCTGCCCTTAAGCAAAGTATATTATTGTTTTGTTTATAACAGTCAGTGGAACTGTTTGACAGCAAATCACTTGATTCTAGTCAAAAACTGATAGAAATAGTAATAGTGAATTTATTTTTAAGATCTTTAATTATCCTACTGAATTGTTATATATGATAAATGAAAGTTTTTTGATATCATATGCTTCAATTATTTTGAATCTTGTCTCACAAACAGTAGTATAATTGGTGAGTTGCTTAAATATGCATCATGTGTCTTACAAGTATCAAAAGTTTGCTTTGTCATTTTCCCCAATTTATCATCCCTTACAGACTATTTATATAGAATATATGTGTCTGAAATATGTTCTATGTGAATATGAAATATGTTTGTTGTTATGTTAACAGAGAAGAAGTTATATATATGCATAGACCTCATCTTTCAATGTGAAAATTTCTTGAGTAGTGAATATGTTTCATACAAACTTTATTTATTTTTATTTTTCTGACATGTTTTTTTAATACCTAATTGATGTATATAAATAAAATAATGTTTTTATGATAAATGTTGAAATACAATTATTATCATTATTTAACATTAAATTATCATTAGTGAACATTAAATGAACATGTTTAAATTAATGATTACAAAATATTGAAAACTAAATTTCTGAGGCATTTTATATAAATATGGTGTTAAAAGTTAATAAAGCAAAATCTAACGAAGTATTTTTTTATAAAATTTATAAATGGTAAAACTATGTTGTTTTCGTAATCTTGAATAATTGTAATAGAGAATGTTTCTGTTATTTAACACACATGAATATTGTGCATAAACAGAGTCAACTGTTATAGAACAATATGATATGCTGCTAAGGTTTTAACTGTTGAACAATAATTTCTGGAATATGCCATTTACTCTGAAGAAAATGAACAAACATTTCCGTCGTACAGGTTTTTTTTGGAAGGATTTTTTTATTTTGTGTGTGTTTTTCTTTTCAAAATTCAAACAATGAATTTAAATTTATAGCCAGTAGATATATAGCTTTAAATATACACTTGAATATTCTGTGAATGATTCATTCTCTAAATATGGAGAGAAAAAACGTTTGGTGGTATAAAATGTTTGAATCAATGATTACATAAAAACGTAGATTTTTCATTTACTGAAGCTTAAAATTAGTAGGATAAAATTATCATAATTGTATTAAATCACTGACATTTGTGAATACATCATTCCTTTATTTATTGTTTACTTCTCAATCATTTCTGTTGAAGTATTTTGTGAACATTCTATTTGTACATAATGGGCCTGAAAGCATTTGGTGATAGCATCTTGATAATTGTTATGTAAAATTGTTTCTAGGTAACAATAGAAACAAAGTATAAGGATTGACTATTGCTCAGGTGTTTGTCCTTGAAGAAGTGAGGAGGATATTTAAAATACATGTAAATAGATAAGCAATGAATGACATTCTATGAACTTTTCAGAAGAATTGCAGATTTTTGGAAATAGTACTACTATTTGATTAATCTTCAAAATACACTAATAAAAAAGATTGACAGACCAGTTAGTGTGATTAGGATGAGAATATTATAAAAATATGGACTTTTTAGCTGTTGAATATGATGTGATATGTACTGAAAAAATTAATATTGACCGAGGCGATAGCCGAGGTCAATATTAATTTTTCAGTACATATCACATCATATTCAACAGCTAAAAAGTACATATCTGTTTTATTATATAATTTATAAATAGCTTTTATATGGCTTATCACATCTGCCATTGCATACGACGGAAATCATTATTTTTCAGCTTGTCTACTGTTTCCATAATTTGGCCCTTTCCATTGGCATGCTAATCCCTATTGTTCTTAAAAATGTAAAACATTAACCTAAAATAGACTAATTTGACTCATATGTACACCTTACTCAACGTTTTTTTCATAATAATAACATCTAACTTGGTGTGACGTCACGTCAAAGTCTCGCGTCTTTTAGGGATTTCCAGAAAATCAATTTTTAGAAGAAAAACCGGTGAATATACTCTGAAAATCTATTTTTAGGGAAAAAACAGTGAATATACTCTGATATTGACCTGTTATTTTATACAAAAAGTTGCTTGTTAGCCAATCAGGGAAAGGCATTTCAAAGCTATTTATAGATTATATAATAAAATTAAATATTTTTAAATCATGGTCAAAAAGACACTCCCCTTATTGAAACTGTAGTCATAGTATTTGTTTCTGATTATCAATAATGTAGAAAAAAATATTTTTGCATGATAATATAACATGTGTGTCATAATGTATATACAGCTATTATTATTTTATATTGGGGAAGTCTGTTTAACCAGGTGGTTAAAGTGGTTGAGGCATTAGAATTGCAGCCACCATTTATTCCGGCGTGATTGTAAGAGGCAACTAAATGGGTTTTGAACAACTGAATTCTATGCATCTTTTAGCTCCAGCGGGTGAGCGGGGTTTGACCCCTGGTGTTAACAAAAATCATCTTTCCTGTTTAGGTGCCATATGACCTATACTGTGTTGGTATGCTTTAAATAAAACAAAGTTGCTGCTTTGGAATCCCTCGCACCTCTTTTCTGCTGGTTCTTATTCATACCCGAACATTGGATAAGCCTCAATGGGAAGCTATTCAGCTAGCTTACAGTAGGTCGGTGGTTCCACATATGTGTCAAATCAGTCTGAAATGCAAGAAGGTAATCCCGAGGTTTTTTTTTACACCAGTAAGAATACAACAGTGTAGTGTTTTATCAAACTTTATGTGTTGGCTTGAAATTAAATCTTGACGAGTCTTTGATACACTTGTTGGAAGAAAAGAATTTAGAAATTGTTTGTTTGAATTGAGTTTAAGTCTATAAAGTATCCCATTAAAAACCTTTTTTATAATCACGTGCAAATTATGATAGGGTTAAGATATTTGGAGAAAATATGACTGTTTACAAATGGTAAGAATTGGTATGAAGTATTGTAAATAAATAATATTAGTTAGTTATTGAGTGCTATTGACTTGATAGTCATAGATAATTGTAAAAGATGTCTTCCAGTAGAAGATAACTATTTGTCTCTGTTTGCTTTGCAAATGTTGTTGTTTGATTTTTTTGTGTCACAAAATAAAGTTAATTTAAAGTTTAAATTTGAAAAATGTTTGGTTTTTTTTCTTCTGAAATGTGTTCCATTATTGTTTCATGTTCTGGTATAAGTTGTTGAATAAGGAAGCCAAGAAACTAAAAGTCAACTTAAATGTAAAGTAAAAAAATAATCACTGGCCAAAAATGACATCGCAGATGGAGAAGTACATTGGATACTACAAAAACAAGAAACAATGTTAGACTAGTGAAATCCTTGTCATTGATTAAACAGATATTAAGATATGGCCGTAACATTTAATTAACAATCTTAAAACTGTAGCAGTTTGATTTTTAAGAGATTATCAAAAGTAAGTCTACTGGTATTAAGGCCTGATAATATGAATAGTAACACTATTGTATTCTTAAGTAACGGGAGTGTTTTTGTCCGCTTTGCAAAAGTATGTTAATTTCCCAGTGTTAACATGTTTCAGGTGTGGCGCATGTGAGGATAACAAATACAAGAGTACTTAATCCAAATTAGTTGTTTTTTTCAATTATAAAAACTGTCGACGTGCAATTGAACAGAACAATATATGCAAAATGTCCTTTACGTATTTAAGTACAACCATCTTTCATGCGTTTTCATCTACCTAGGTGTAGAAAATTCTTTTTTTTTTTGGTTTTAGACTAATCCCCATACAGCTGACTTGTCCTTTAAGAAAATGAGAGATTCATTTTTAGTATTATACATGTTACACGTGTTGTCACTATACATGTATGTTATACACGTGTTATGTTGAAGACATTTCCTTGCACACGATAATAATGATGCCACGTGTTGTGTACCGATCAACGTGTCATTATATGCTGCGTTATTTCCGAGCAGTCGGAAGAAAGTACTTGTAGATACTTGTTCTGAAAATTAAAACAAACTCCGTTGTTGTTATGACTAGGGGAAAACAGGAAATAGTTAAGAAAAGTCGAGAAATCTCAATGTATTTGCTTTAAAAACAGAAGCTTCAACATTTAGAATTAAATATCGTATACTCCACTTATAACGATATTGCTCTTATAACGATGCTGCCGCAGGTCCGCCTTTCGGATATAACGATATCCGGATATAACGATATGAATTCGGCGGTCATCTAAATATCGTTATAACTGGAGTTTACAGTACTGCCGTGCATACCGGCATGGTGAATGGTGTACAATAGTGATGCTATGAACATGGAATGGAGTCTCGAGGATATTCTTGATAATATATGGGTGTGAATGTTATGTAAGTCATACAACTTACTCAACCATTGTTCTGTCAAATGCTCCTTTTCTTAATGTTACTCAATATCTAGTAGAATTTCGTTTTAATACATGGTCGCTGATCCTGCCAAAATCTATTACACCTGTATGTTTTATATATTTATTTTGAATGTTGCCTTATAGCAATATTAGCGCATCTATCGTCGCTAATATTCTTAATACTTCAGACATTGACGTCTATGTTATATCCATAAGATAAATTTGAAATGTGACAAAATATGTATAAATTACATACTAAATATTTGTTATAGCTTACCATGTGTTTGAAAAGCTCTGAATATAAGTTTTCCACTCTGTGAAGCTTGCGAATTTGTTCCAAGTGCCATGCTATCAGGAATACAAATGGCTGCACCTTTGACGTCATCGGGTCGCCATATTCGAAGGATTGTACCGTTGTATGCATATACCAGACCTCCATAGCCGCACGGGGTACCTGGCCGCTGCGAATTGGTCATAGCACTGCCAACACCTTCAAATAGGTAACCACTGTTTGCGCCATCAGTAGCTTCTATCTGAAAATTATATAAACTTACAATGGAAAAAAACCTGGCCATATAACCTGTCCAATATCTTAAATTAATCATTCGAGTAAACCAGTAACAAAGAAGCCAATAACAATCAAATATATTGTTTAATTTATTATAATTTTTATCATATTATATTATTAAGTATCGAAGAAAATGTCGAACAGCCTTATAACTTTATAATGAAATAATACATACTTCGATCGGGCTATAGTTGTAATTACAATAAATGTACCATTGCAGAAGTCAAGAACATGCTTGTGTCCAGGAAATAATATGGTAATGCTATTTGCAATTCTTCGCCAAAATAGGATGGACCAAATGTCAAGGTTTTTTGAAAACTAAGTGACAGATCACACCATGCCAACACTTGGATAAGTCCTTGAGTAGATTTATCGTAACGGAAAGAATCGTGTCCCCAACCATCGTTACGGGTAAACAGCACGCCGTCTAGGTTAAAAAGTATTTTTTTTAAAATACATTAAAACATGTTTGATATGTATAAGCAAGAATAATATAAGGTAATGCAATAGTATGTGTTTTAATATAATAGTAAGTCATTAATTGTGTAAATACCTTTACTGTTTGTATTTATTGAAATTAAGAAAGTAAAAGAGCCGCGTCATGACAAAACCAACACCCGCATCCGCGTAGTCTGATCATCGCTTACAAACTCTATAACAAGTAGATAAACCAATAGCGAACAGCATGTATCCTGATAAGACTGCGCGGATGCGCAGGCTGGTCTGGATCCATGTTGGTCGCAAACCCATTATGTTGGTTTTGTCGTGACGCAGCTCAAATCTCACTGACTACATCTTATTTGAAAAAGAGAATGCTCATATGTTTTGGAAGCTGCATCGAGTTATTGTGTTTTTTTCTTATCTGAGAAATTAATATTTTTTTTAACTTATTAGAAATGTCAAACAAGTTTTCATAATTGATTAAGAAGAAAGTAGCACGGAACATGCAGTTATATGTCAGAAAGGTAGCGAAATATAAACAAAGTACTGTAGTACTTTTACTTCCATACAAAATACTAATTCACCATAAAAATATACATTGCTAACACAGCAAAAGTAGCAAAAATAGTTCATCTATGTATAAAGATTAAGTTTTTGGAAACTGTCAATTTTTCATCTTTTAATGACACAAATTATTCATATTGTATTCACCTACAGTTTGTAGAATTTTAAAGTATCGAATTAAAAACGTAACGTCCTCAAAAGATATTAATTTTAAGAGACTACAACCAAGGTATATACCATTTGTATCAAATATCACTCACTTCTTATATGAAACAATTAAATTACACAACACGCGTTTAATACACAAATTAACACATTACGAAGACTTAACCATTTAATATGCATATTTTGCGACTCAATAAAAAATGTTTATATGTAAGTGACGTCATTTGCAATATGCAATCCAGCGCAAAGGCTCACTACGCGTCAAACAAAATGTGATTTTTTACTTTAAAGTTAAAATTTTGATATGTGACATTCGTGTAGATACATTCCTAAATTTATTGAACTCGTTGAAAAGTATAATTGTTTGATCGCCAGAGGTTGACATATTGTATTTTTATTTAACTCGTTCAGTATTGAATCTTCACTCATTCAATATCCTTTATTTATCGTGTTATGATTTACATGCGATATTTTTTATAAAGTCTCAAATTATCTTAGGACAAAATGCTGAAATATGAATTTCAAAATGTGTATCTTCGTAAATGTAAGATAAGAAGTCATTATTTTATTCGCAGATTTGATTTTTTTATGTTGCTAAGTAATAAAGTATTACCCGGTAATGAAACCGAAGATGTCCAGACTCTTATAGTGTTGTCATCATATGCATACTTAAGTCCACCACTGCGAGCTGCTTTCCTCATGTTGGCAATACTGTACAAGGCAGAACCTTATAAACAACAAGAAACAACAGTCATACTGATTCGTCTCTGTTATCACTATTTTCAGGTGTAATTTAATTTATATAAAAAATTATAAATACCACACGCAATTCAGTAGGCCTACAACATTACACGGATGTCTTGGAATCTCGCGGAAAAGTTATGCGACAGTTTTGTTGTTTAATGTAGTTAAAAAAAACATTCTAGACATTTATAAAAAAAATTAAAAGTAACACACAATCATGTCCACCATGATCTTTGTTTTTATATCTTTATTTATTTACTTTTTTACAGAATCAAAATTAAAGTTAATTTCCAAATATAAAGATGCATATACTTTCGGCAGTCTAATATTTTATCAAGGACTGTGTTTATAATAGTAAAAGTACATATTTCTGAGCGATATTACTTATGAACTTGCAAAATGATTTGATTTTAGAGACTAAAACAGATCAGATTATAAATTCTTTGAATTAAATTTGGTGATTACTATAAAAAGTAAGAATTTATTGTTAGTCAGGTAATTCATAGTTTGATGAATTAAACTTTATACATTTAAATATAGAATATTAGCATACATAAATCTGTATGAAACAATTAAGAACTAGAAACTTACTGTAGCGCTTTTGTTTATTTCATACAGTAAAGGTTCAGTATAAGGAAGACGAAGTGAGTCAGAGCTTCAGGCTCTACATAAATCGGTAGCAGAAACGGGAGAGGAACTTGCGAAGCCAGGTTAATTGTGATAGCTTTGCAACCTGTAGCCTCGGGAGTAGCCCTCTCCTGCTACACGTGATACAAATTGCTAACTGTCATGGGTCTGTAAATGATTTTGAACTTCATGTTCTATACTATATATTTAATTGATTATGTAACTGTAATTGAAGAGCAAGCACGCCGGAAATAATTTCAGTTCCTGTATGAGTGGTACAGTAAACTTCACTGATAGCGAACCCGGTTATAGCGAACTTCCGGTGATAAGGAACAATTGATTTTGGCCCGAATTTTGTCCTTCTTTATTTAATGTAAAATGGAATGTTATAACGAACACGGTTATAAGGAATTGTCGCTTATTAGAAACTCATTTCTTAGTCTCAATGTAGTTAAAAGTACAGAAAATTACACTTTTAATATCGGCTATCCGTAAATAGATACCGCGTTTTAATTGGTCGGCCGAATGTACCGTTTATTGTACACATGTATTTCAATAAAGCTGTGAATTTGAATTTGTATAGCAGTATGCAATAGTTTTCTAATTAGGAAATTTTTGTACGAGTTCTTGTCGCCAATATAAAACGGTTATTCCTTTTATTCTATTGTTTCTTTCCTTTAATAGTTTTGCTCGAGTAACATTTATAATTTGGTTTTCAACATAATTACGCATACTTGCTAATCCATTGAAATATACAAAGTATGATAGAAATGAAAAGAAATCTGTATATTTCATAAGTTAAAGTATTCCTTAAAATATAGTGGAAGATATTCAATATAAAAGGAAGGAAAAATCGAAAATCTTGTATGAAAGAAAAGTCTAGAAACAAAATATGATATTTATGAGAAATTGAGAAAGGGGGTAAAACTAAGATTGAAATAGCAAAGGATTTTCAAATTCCAATAAGTACGCTCTCGGGTATTGTGTCTAAAAAAGAAATAAATTACTAATTTTTCTTAATCAAATGCTCTTAAAAATGACGGACGATTGTAAGCAATTAGGTCGTTATATGTAAATCTGTTCGCTGTGAAAACTCCTGATACACGGAACTAATTCGCTATATACCAGATATAAGGAACGGATTTTGAATGTCCAAAGCGGAGTAAACTGTATAAGTTTTTTTATGGTATAAGTATGAAAGTTGCTAAACTCGCCTTTCACACCATACCGTATTCGTGACAAACTGATACTGAAAATTTTGAGTTCGTAGCCCATCTATCCTGTAAAAGCTATAGCTTAAACGAGTTTGCACCGAACAAATAACGAACATGCTCTGAATATGCCGTATAGCCAATAGTTATTCTCCGAAATATGTTTCATTTCGTTCCGAAACCTGCTGTTTCAGTTATAACCACTTCGGTAGGCCCCCTTCCCCTATGGAATAAAGCGAACATTTAAGGAACCCTAAGCTTATTGTGCGCGACATTTAACCAAATTTCCCGAATATGCTGCATAAAACCTCTCGGCGACTCAGCTGCTAATCAATTAGTTTTGCACTAGACTTCACAGAAGCATTACTACACTATTACTAATATTCTGCAATACTCAGTGGGGAAACGCTTACGAAGTAGCAGTTGTGAACAAAGACGCTGAAGCCGCCTAACCTGTTGTAAAATATGCCGGTAGGGAACGAACACATTCACCATCTGAATGGCCCAGTTTCTCCTTTTAAGCCTTGGCGACATTGGCTTATGCCAAAGAATGCAAGGATTAGCGACTTATTTCCTATTGCAGTACCAAACAGACTGAAGTTTATTTATTTATCTATTTTTTTTATTTTGGGGATGTGAGATAAGGAACTGAGACGAATGTAAAAAGAAAACATAAACCGTTTTTGTAAAACCTGTAATATTTTTCATGAATAAAAGTAATTTCCATAGATCTGTAGATTTGGTTGAATATTCAGCTAATGGGGCAAGGGAAAACAATGAGCAATAATACCTTGAGCGTCAGTGTACCAGCCAGGGTCGGACCCATCAAGTAGTTTACCACGAACTTTTACCAACATTGGGTAAGTGTTCAAGCCATGACTGAATTCCGCATATGTTTCACTAACTGCAAAAAATTGAAATCGTTTTACAATCTTCAGAATACACACTATTGAAATATATAATCCTATGAAAAAATCGGTGTATATAACGTTTATATAACACCGAGTTGAACATTTGATCCGCTAAGGCTAATTACGAATTTAATACCCTCGCATCAAAATGACTGGATTTTAAAGTGTAAGATTTAGCCATCTTCATCCCAACCATAAAAGCTGAATTAGAAAAGGTTAAAACACAAATGATTATGATATGCCAGGTAAACGCGAAGTTTTTTTTTTATATTTGATTAGGTTCCTACATGTCAAAACTCAAGTATGTTGAATATCGTTTGTCTAATTCGTGATATCATTACAAAAACATTAGCTGTACAATATGCTTTTTCTTTCATTATGATCAATTGTTTATATATATAGCATCATATTTGCGAATCACTTACGGTTGCCAAGTATAGTTTACTTACCGTTAGGTCCGACCTATGCCTCTAGGGTGAAGATAAATTACCCAGGGGACGCTAGTTCAATCCTCGGACGAGGCGTAAATTCTTCGTGACATTTGATCTCAAATATTGAGTTTATTGATGTGACCACAATCGTGTGTTACGATTGGCGTTTAAATCAAGAAGAAAAAAAAACAACAAACTTACTGTTAGGTGAACCTGCTATCATTAAATGATCTGTGACGTTAAAACAGGGAGTCGGTAATGCCGTAGGTTCCCAACAACGAACTTTGACTTCAGCTTCAAAACTTATTTGATAGTTAATTCCACGCCAATATGGTGACTCACCTATAATACGGTACAATTTTTTATACTTTGTTATAATTCTAGCTTTTCTGGAAAAGGAAGTTTTGAAGTACCGATACATAAAGAAATATGGACATATAGATTTACCCGTAAACTCTTAACTCTCAATAAATGAAATCATAAATATTCCCCCCGTATTGTTGACAACATCTACATCTTGGATAATTGATTTTACGGGTTAAATATATAATTATTTTCGCAATTTTCTTTATTATATAATTAATAATGTTTTTATTATAATGAACTCCTTGATTAGACAAACAACATAGTCATATATATGGAATACCCGACATTGAAAACAACACAGGTTGTCGCAAACGGACAAAGCGGTCAAAGAAAGATACATTGAAGTTCTGACTTATTTGGTAGTCCGTTAACTTTGTGTCATTATAAGAATTATATCATTGTACCATTTAAGTCGTTTTTCCTTAATAAAAGAATTCTGTGATACAATGCTTGTCGAATTTCTTTCTGTTTAATTAAATTTCAAATCAAAATTTCAATGTTGACACAAAATGCACAATAAACAAGGCAGTTTTCTTTACAATTCTAACATTTTTTTTGCATTATGAGTGACATACCTGTATAAATAGCCGCACCTTGATCTCCATGGTTTACTTTATTTGGTGCCATGATGCGGACATTGACTTCATTGTAAATATAGATAATGCCGCCGTACATTTCACTTGAATCGTCATCTCTTTCGCCATTACCTACATTTTAATCATATATTCATTGAATATTACCTACAATTTGTTCATTAGATAAAATTTAAATTCATAATGACAAATTCATAAGCCAATGGCATAATTTCAAGACATGATACACTATAAAATCGTAAAAATGGAGTAACGACGCTGCTTATGGTTTTAAGTGTAATGATTTTTCGGCGTTTTCAATGTGTGACGAGAATGTCACCATTTATTATGCATGAAACGGAATTACTGAATGTATTCGTCATATACACACCGTCGTGACATTTGATGATCTGTTAGGCAGCAGTATAAATCATTGTGGATTGGTCTACAATTGGGGACAAATTCATAAGCATTACAAACACTTACCAAGATAATCGAAATTTGACATTAGATATTCACAAAATGTTTCTTGAAAAAAAAATGTCAATCTTTTGTAAGTGATTAAATATGAATATTTATATGATGAATGACACTATTTTGAACAATTTATTATCTGGTATATATAAATAAGTAACATCGCATCATATATATCTCACACTAAACTATAACATCCATATATAACTTTGTCATAGTTTGTTGTCACATATGATACTAATTACTATGAACAATTACATACATTTTTGTAATTGTGTATGGTATTGCATACCATTCTACTTTAATATAAAATCAGCGAAACATTGACATGACGACCATTTAGTATAGTTTATTTCCGCTTATCGTTTGCATATCATTATATAAAATACATTGAGTTTAAATAATTCTTCTACAGGAATAATATAATGTCATATAACATTTTGAATCTTGTCTAAAAATCGTTTTTTAACAAGAGCCATTCAACCTGTCTTCTATCTGTAAATGTCAATTCAAGAATCAGAATCTTTTAGTTCAGTAATGACTAGTTTACATTACACAATTTAAACACATGGTAAGAATTCAAAATCATAGTCATATTTAAAATTTGAATCATGATAAAGGAGAGGAACAGTCAAAGTCAAAGCTATTTATTCCGTGTTTTTGCGACCTTCAAAAATCCCATTTCTATGTAAAGTCAATAAAAAGATGAAAATTTCATGTAAAAAGGTTCATGTTATCAAATATTGTATATTACTGTACATTACCTAGTGCTTTGAAGATAAAGTCTTTGTTGGGACCATCCACAGCTTTGACAAGTACCTCTACAAGACCAGGGACAGTCCCTATATTATGCTGTACCAATATATCTGATACATTACTCTGTGCCTTAATGTATAACCAATCGCTCTCAAATTGAGGCAGGCCTATCGTAATACAGTATGACCTTCCTGTAAAACAACAAACAATTGATAAAAACTCATATTTTGTCCAAAAAAAAAATGCATTTGTAGTATCAAAAGAATTCACTACATTCGTTTCCAGACATTGAAAACACACAGAGAAGTTTCCTTGTTGTTATTGTTGAGGTGCTCACGAGACTCTTTTACATATATTTTTATAGAAATAAATCTAGTGCTTGACAAACCGAAAAATGTCGAAAGAAATATAATAAGTATTAAAGCAAGGAACATATGTAGCATGCTCACATGAGAAATATATCAGTTAACTTACCGATGAAAATATGAAGGTAAACAAGAATAAACGCTAGCAACATCATTTCCTCCGCTAGACACTATAACACAAGCATTAAAAAATCTGATAATGGACAAATGGTTATTTGTTATAAATTGATATTGTTTGAATCTTTTAAGTTGTTTTTAAAGGTGGTTAACTTAAGTTCTCATAACCTTTTACCATACATGTATTTGCAACAGAATCCATATATGAGCAAAATATAGATAAATATAAGGACAAAAGGTACCATTATTGCTTATCGCTAATAGATGTTATCTGGAAGTTTTTTCCCATCTTGTGTCACCCTGGTACGGAATTAAACCCAACGCAAAAGTTTGTGCCCCAAATTAAGTCATACCTAATTTTATTGCCGAATTCCAGAGTATTTCTATTTCTTTTGGATTCACTGTAGTATCTGCTAAAACAGGAGTCCTCCGCCTGTTTAGACAACAGAAATAGTTACAATTAAACAATAGTCACAGGAGTTCAACATCTTTACATCTAACTTTAGGTCTATATCAATGTTAAAAAAATCTCAAACTTTCAAGTCCGATTAATTAGAAGATTTCTTATTCCTGGTATTTGTATAAAACGGTACTTCATATATAATATATCATGTGCCGGATAAAAAATCAGTTTCACTTCAAAATTCGTATAGCATTATTGAATCATGACAATTACAATGAATGACAATGAATTTATTTGCAATACTAGTATAAGGCCTCCGGCCCAAAATACCGAAAGTTCGGGAGTGCGCATTTTAGTTTGTATGACAATTGCATTGATAGGTACTTTTCAGTGATTTAAACATTTTGTAAGATATAGCTTTCGGTGACATGTCAATATCTGCCAGAAAACTCTGTCTTGAGCAGTCTTTAAGCCTTTGAATAAACACATTCATAAAGTCAACTTTATCACCTATTTCGTTCATTAACCAGACTAATCCAAAGCCGTATTGATAAATAACATGTTTATGTGTGTTGCCCACAGATTGCAGTCTAAGAATGAGTACCTTTAATTCTGGCATCAAACCAAAGTTACAATCAATACGATCGAATTCAAATATGTTGGACATCTATTGAAATTTTAAAAACAAAAACAATTTAGAATTAATGTCACTCTATGCGCCTAATGCGTCAAGGTAAAACCATGCTTGTTTAATGAAATGTTCTATATCTTATGTAAATATTCTGCGACGCTTTTGAAAATTGACAATAGAAAAAAGTGGTGTTTAAATGGTGTATATACAGTGTGTTGGAACGATTTTAGAAAAAAACAATATTAGAACTGGTCCATTAACTAACACTCTTTTAACAATTACTGTTTACTAACCTGTATATTATATACCTTTATTTTTTCACTATCAATAAAATCATTTGACGAGCGTTCACTGACAATGTACAAATAGTCTCTGAAGTCTTTATGTAGCTTCACTGAGGGTTGGCGGACCGTATATGTCACGGACTGAATATGGCAAACGTGTGGCATATTCGGTCGAATATGGCACACTCTTCAGCCAGAAATGGAACATGAAATGTGCTATATTCGCTTGGAGTTTTTCTATGCTCACCAAAACGTATTTGTCACTTACCAAAAATGTGCATAAAATGAAAATACGAGCATATACGTCACAATACCGTTTATTATAAAAAAGAAATTAACCTAATGACTGAATCAAAAATACCACAACCGCCATCTTCATCATCACCATCATCAGCATCAGTATTATCATCATCATTATCATCATCACAAGTGAATAATAACAAATATTTCACGGAATTTTTTTTAAAGTGTATAATAAACAAATATTTCACGGAATATTTTAAAAGTGTGTAACAAATATTTAATCGCATTTTTAAAAGTGTTTGATAAGCAAATATTCAATCGAATTTTTTAAAAGTATATAATGAACAAATATTTCACAAAATAAGCGCAAACATTTCGTGAATATTGTACTGCAATATACCTATAAACAAGAACATATATTCATCTTGCATTAAAATATGTTTTTCTTTTATTTGTTTATTTATTTTATTTATGGCTGCTTGAACAAAATGATTCCATGACCCTTAATAAATCTACAAGCTATTAGTTTTAACATATCAATTTATGTTTGATTGCGAAACACATTCTTTCAATTTATATTAATCACTTTAGAGTCCGCTTCCTGGAACCATCCAGTACTGGTATCAAATGAGGAAACATAGTCGTGACCCGATTAGGGCTCGAACCCACAATCCTGGGATTGAGAGGGAAACATCTTATCAATTAGGCCACCACTACCCCTTATCATTGAATCATCCTTACTTTATGATTATTCAGGAAAAAATCACATCTTGCTCGAGCTTTAGTGGCAAATTTGCTACAACCATGCAAAAAGCAAAAGTAGAATGCATGTTAAAGTCCATCAAACAATTTGTTTTAAACAACTTCAGTGTGTTCAATCGTCATTTCGAAAATGACCATGATGATTTTAGGCACAACATAACGTTTAAGAGGCAAGTTACATAAACAGAACGCTATTCATACTATCTCTTCTCGTGCGCACCACTGTAAAATTATACATCTGGTTTGCAGCTGAAGAAAATTATTTATGAAAGTGTTCAAAAATCATTTTTTCGTGATTAAAAAAAGTTTTGATTTTGCTTATATCTAAGTCACGGCGTAAAATACTTAATTTTATTTAATGGTATAAAGTCATTTGTAAAGTACATGTCAAAGTCACGTTTTGTGCGCGTAAGATAAACTTACAAGTGCCATGACCATGCCCTTAGTTCAAATACTGTGCTGATGCTACACGCGACACAAATTGACCAAATTGACTTTTTCCGATTTGACTAATTCAAGGGCAATACCTCTGGCATGACTGCCTGAATCGACAAGCGAAACCCCAGGTGCACAATAACATAATACTGACCAATGTTCATGTAAAAATTAATTCTAAAATATTGATGGAGCAACACTAAAGATTCCGGGACGGACAGATGCACGTACTCACGCACAGGCGCACGGACCAGTTACACGTTTAAATCCTCCCCATTAGAGTAATGGCATGAAAAGTCGATATTTTGTCTTCAAGTCAATAAATATTAATGTCCAAAATATTTAGCACATATTTTCGGCAAAGCCAGTCACTATGTACTGTTATCGTACTGGTAAAATGATAAGCATGGCGGCGTGGACTTAAACAAATATATTACTGATTTACGATGACGATGATGATGCATAATTGATGATATTGATATTGATGTGTTGTTTGTTGTTGTTGATGATGATGATGTATTATTAACGTTGATGAAGGTATGTTAAAATGGTGATGATAATGTTAGTTTAATGAGTAAAATGTGTGACATATACGGTCAGGCATTTACTACCATATTGCAGAAACGTATATGGTGTGATTAATTCGGCCGAATATGTCCCACACGTGTGACACCCACAATAGTGACATATTCGGTCCAACAAACCGACACTCAAGATATATTGCTCAGTGTTTTCTGTTGCTTAACTGTCCTGTCCCACCAAGCTGAAATACCACCATATTCAAATTCATTTCATTCGGGAAATATTATAGTCGTTCCACATGATAAATGTTGAAATACAATTATTATCATTATCTAACATTAAATTATCATTAGTGAACATTAAATGAACATGTTTAAATTAATGATTACAAAATATTGTTAACTAAATATCTGAGGCATTCTATATAAATATGGTGTTAAAAGTTAATAAAGCAAAATCTAATTAAGTATTTTTTTTATAAAATTTATAAATGGTAAAACTATGTTGTTTCCGTAATCTTGCATAGATTCTTGAAAGAATTGTAACAGAGAATGTTTTTGTTATTTAACACACATGAATATTGTGCATAAACAGAGTCAACTGTTATAGAACAATATGATATGCTGCGATTTAAAGTAAGGTTTTAACTGTTGAACAATAATTTCTGGAATATGCCATTTACTCTGAAGAAAATGAACAAACATTTCCGTCGTACAGGTTTTTTTTGGAAGGATTTTTTATTTTGTGTGTGTTTTTCTTTTCAAAATTCAAACAATGAATTTAAATTTATAGCCAGTAGATATATAGCTTTAAATATACACTTAAATATTCTGTGAATGATTCATTCTCTAAATATGAAGAGAAAAAACGTTTGGTGGTATAAAATCTTTGAATCAATGATTACATACAAACGTAGATTTTTCATTTACTGAAGCTTAAAATTAGTAGGTTAAAATTATCATAATTGTATTAAATCACTTACATTTGTGAATACATCATTCCTTTATTTATTGTTTACTTCTGAAGTATTTTGTGAACATTCTATTTGTACATAATGGGCCTGAAAGCATTTGGTGATAGCATCTTGATATTTGTTATGTAAAATTGTTTCTAGGTAACAATAGAAACAAAGTATAAGGTTTGACTATTGCTCAGATGTTTGTTGGTGGATATTTAAAATACATGTAAATAGATAAGCAATGAATGACATTCTATGAACTTTTCAGAAGAATTGCAGATTTTTGGAAATAGTACTACTATTTGATTAATCTTCAAAATACACTAATAAAAAAGATTAACAGACCAGTTAGTGTGATTAGGATGAGAATATAATTAAATATTTTTAAATCATGGTCAAAAAGACACTCCCCTTATTGAAACTGTATTCATAGTATTTGTTTCTGATTATCAATAATGTAGAAAAAATATTTTTGCACGATAATATAACATGTGTGTCATAATGTATATACAGCTATTATTATTTTATATTGGGGAAGTCTGTTTAACCAGGTGGTTAAAGTGGTTGAGGCATTAGAATTGCAGCCACCATTTATTCCGGCGTGATTGTAAGAGGCAACTAAATAGGTTTTGAACAACTGAATTCTATGCATCTTTTAGCTCCAGCGTGTGAGCGGGGTTTGACCCCTGCCCCCGTGTTCACAAAGATTTAAGGATCAGGATCAAGATCAGGATCAAATCTTAAAACTCAAATATTCTCCATTGTTTATCCTCATAGATTAAATATCTAATATTAACATGATAAAACTTGACTTGAAATAGCATGTTTATGAAATTTTAGAATAAATTTATCGTTTTTTCTTTAAGATATGGGTATTTCACAGTTGATCCAAATATTGATCTTGATCCTAAAATTGATCCTTATTCTGATCTGATTATTTTTGTATTTGTTTTATTATTCATAGATTTTATCCCAAATAGGTTTGTTTCTTTGCAAATCAAATTATTTCTACATTTTGAATATGGACCATTTTATTCTAGCAAAAAACGATCAATATTAGTTATAAAAAACAAAGAAAATAAAACCAGGATCACTTGATCCTGATCCTAATTTTTTTCTTAGTGAACACAGGGCCAGGTGTTAGCAAAAAACATCTTTCCTGTTTAGGTGCCATATGAATTATATTGTGTTGGAATGCTTTAAATAGCACAAAGTCGCTGCTTTGGAATCCCTCACACCTTTTTTCTGCTGGTTCTAATACATACCCGAACATTGGATTAGCCTCTATGGGAAGCTATTCAGCTAGCTTACAGTAGGTCAGTGGGTCCACATATGTGTCCAATCAGTCTGAGTTTTTTTTACACCAGTAAGAATACCACAATGTAGTGTTTTATCAAACTTTTGTGTTTGCTTGAAATTAATTCTTGACGAATCTTTGATACACTTGTTGGAAGAAAAGAATTTAAAAATTGTTTGTTTGAATGAGTTTAAGTCTTTAAAGTATCCCATTTAAAACCTTTTTTTATAAACAGTGCAAATTATGATAGGGTTAAGATATTTGTAGAAAATATGACTGTTTACAAATGGTAAGAATTGGTATGAAGTATTGTAAATAAATAATATTAGTTAGTTATTGAGTGCTATTGACTTGATTGTCATAGATAATTGTAAAAGATGTCTTCCAGTAGAAGATGTCTATTTGTCTCTGTTTGCTTTGCAAATGTTGTTGTCTGATTTTTTTGTGTCACAAAATAAAGTTAATTTAAAGTTTAAATTTGATAAATGTGTTTTTTTCTTCTGAAATGTGTTCCATTATTGTATAAGTTGATGAAAAAGGAAGCCAAGAAACTAAAAGTCAAGTTAAATGTAAAGTAAAAAAAAAATCATAGACCAAAAATGACATCACAGATGGAGAAGTACATTGGATACAACAAATTAAAACAAGAAACAATGTTAGACTAGTGAAATCATTGTCATTGATTAAACAGATATTAATTTATGGCCGTAACATTTAATTAACAATCTTAAAACTGTAGCAGTTTGATTTTTAAGAGATTATCAAAAGTAAGTCTACTGGTATTAAGGCCTGATAATATAAATAGTAACACTATTGTATTCTAAAGTAACGGGACTGTTTTTGTCCGCTTTGCAAAAGTATGTTAATTTCCCAGTGTTAACATGTTTCAGGTGTGGCGCATGTGAGGATAACAAATAGGAGAGTAGTAAATCCAATTAGTATTTTTTTCAATTATAAAAACTGTCGACGTGCAATTGAACAGAACAATATATGCAAAATGTCCTTTACGTATTTAAGTACAACCATCTTTCATGCGTTTTCATTTATCTAGGTGTAGAAAAATTCTTCTTTTTTGGGGGGTTTTAGACTAATCCCCATACAGCTGACTTGGCCTTTAAGAAAATGAGAGATTCATTTTTAGTATTATACATGTTACACGTGTTGTCACTATACATGTATGTTACACAAGTGTTATGTTGAAGACATTTCCTTGCACACGATAATAATGATGCCACGTGTTGTGTACCGATCAACGTGTCATTATATGCTGCGTTATTTCCGAGAAGTCGGAAGAAAGTACTTGTAGATACTTGTTCTGAAAATTAAAACAAATTCCGTTGTTGTTATGATTGGGGGAAAAAGGAAATAGTTAAGAAAAGGCGAGAAATCTCAATGTATTTGCTTTAAAAACAGAAGCTTCAACATTTAGAATTAAATATCGTATACTCCACTTATAACGATGCTGCCGCAGGTCCGCCTTTCGGATATAACGATATCCGGATATAACGATATGAATTCGGCGGTCATCTAAATATCGTTATAACTGTTTACAGTACTGCCGTGCATACCGGCATAGTGATTGATGAACAATAGTGTTGCTATGAACATGGAATGGAATTTCGAGGATATTCTTGATAATATATGGGTGTGAATGTTATGTAAGTCATACGACTTACTCAACCATTGTTCTGTCAAATGCTCCTTTTCTTAATGTTACTCAATATCTAGTAGAATTTCGTTTTAATACATGGTCGCTGATCCTGCCAAAATCTATTACACCTGTATGTTTTATATATTTATTTTGAATGTTGCCTTATAGCAATATTAGCGCATCTATCGTCGCTAATATTCTTAATACTTCAGACATTGACGTCTATGTTATATCCATAAGATAAATTTGAAATGTGACAAAATATGTATAAATTACATACTAAATATTTGTTATAGCTTACCATGTGCTTGAAAAGCTCTGAATATAAGTTTTCCACTCTGTGAAGCTTGCGAATTTGTTCCAAGTGCCATGCTATCAGGAATACAAATGGCTGCACCTTTGACGTCATCGGGTCTCCATATTCGAAGGGTTGTACCGTTATATGCATATACCAGACCTCCATAGCCGCACGGGGTACCTGCCTGTTCCGAATTGGTCATAGCACTACCAACACCTTCAAATAAATAGCCACTGTTTGCGCCATCAGTAGCTTCTATCTGAAAATTATATAATCTTACAACGGTAAAAACCTAGCCATATAACCTGTCCATGATCTATACATTAAACATTCGAGTAAATCAGTAACAAAGAGGCCAATAACAATAAAATATATTGATATAAATTATATAATATAATTTACTTTATCGAATAAAATGTCGAACATCATATTACATATTTCGATCGGGCTATAGTTGTAATTACAATAAATGTACCATTGCAGAAGTCAAGAACATGCTTGTGTCGAGGAAATAATATGGTAATGCTATTTGCAACTCTTCGCCAGAATAGGATGGACCAACTGTCAAGGTTTTTTGAAAACTTAGTGACAGATCACACCATGCCAGCACTTGGATAAGTCCTTGAGTAGATACATCTAAACGGAAGGTATCATGTCCCCAACCATCGTTACGGGCAAACAGCACTAGAATAAAAAGCTTTTTTTACATCAAAATGCAATACGCAAGCATGATAAAAGGTAATGTAATACTAGTAGTGTATTTTTTGGAATGTTAAAGATAAAGTATGCTCATATTTTGATACATATTTTTGATCAGATATATATTGAAATCTTGGAAATTCTCGCTTAAGGAAGAGAATGCACAACTCATGTTTTGGAAGGTGCATTCCGTATTACCTCTCAAGTTAATACTGGTCCTTTTTTAGTTTTTTAATGGAACTAACGATTAATACTGTGTTTGCATTTACAGTTTGTAGAATTCAAAACGTAACATATCTTCTGTATGTAAATATGAAGAATATCAAGTAATCAAGTCTTATACCACTTGCATCAAATATCACATACATGTACTTCTTATTTGGAAAAATTAAATTGCACAAAAGCGTTTAATACACATATTGCAACATTGCATTGCGTTTATTACGCAAATTTAGGGTATGCTTTTGCGACTCTACTATAACGGTTTGGCACGCCGTGCATATATTTACAAGTGACGTCATTTGCGTTATTCTATGAATAAATAAAGAAATACTATAAGCGCGTCAATAAAAAAGGGTCTCCAGCGTACCCGTTTATATGTTATGACATGCCGCATCAGATGAAAAACAAAAATGTTCACAAAATTTGGCATCCAGAATTACAGTATTATGTAAACAATTTTTATTATTTGTTTGGGTCGTCAGGCCAAACAAATAATGGTAGCGAAATTTCAGACCCTGATGCTGTTAATTGCAAATGCCGAAAGTAGTCCACTTTTTTGAAGCGGTTACTTCCCTTTTTATGTACACTTACGCCGAAAAATTCAGGGGAGCTTACTGCGTAAAGATGGTCAAATGACAGGCGCATTAATTTTCAAGCAAAATAGTTCCCGAATGGTCGAAGATTTCTAATATTGTGTTATTCTTTATAGATATACATGCTTATAGTAAGCTCCATGATTATTTACATCTGTGTTAAACAACAGTTGGCGTCGAAATAATAAGGGTTTTCTTCAGGCCGGTAACATAAAACTTCACCGTAGCCGAAGGGTTTACGCGCTCGTTTAGGAATCCCAGTTAAGGCAACTCATTTTTTTTTCAAATTGTTTAGTCAAATAAACATTGAATTGAATATCAGTATTGCAATTAGTCTTATAGCCAATTTATTTCAATTAAAACGCTGGAAAGCATTGGTGGCACTATACAAGAACGAATTGGTTTATAATCTAACAACCTTCACCTTTCTAACATTCTGAGACCCAAACAAATTCAGCGCCTTCTGTGCTTTGATTTGGATATTTGATAAATAGAATAATATATTCGTGTAGATGCATTCCTAAATTTATTGAACTCGTTCAACAGAGGCTGACATAATATATTTTTATTCAACTCGTTCAGTATTGAATCTACACTCATTCAATATCCTTTATTTATGGTGTTATATTCTATCACCCTTGCATGCGATAATTTCTGTAAAGTCTCGAATGCTGAAACGTGTATTTTAAAATATGTACCTACATAACTCTAACGTATGAAGTCATTATTTGATTTTTCATGTTGCTAAGTAATAAAGTATTACCACGTGATGATACCGAAGATGTCCAGACTCGTATATTGTTGTCATCATACGCATACTTCAGTCCACCAGTGCGATCTGCTTTCTTCGTGTTGGCAAAGCTGTACAAGGCAGAACCTGATAAAACAAGCAACACTAATAATACTGTTTTGTACTGTTTTATCTCTATTATCATTATTTCAGACTCAAATCAGTACAACATTGCACGGCTACCCTAGAAGTTCGCAGAAAAAATGACGGTCAGATATAGTTTTGTTTCGTGTTGTTTAAAAATGCTTTCTACACGTTTATGATATTAAAAAACTAAACGAACACATTCATGTCCACGATGGTCGTTCTTTTTTAATGATTCCAAATCGTGCTACAAATTGCTCACAGTAATATTCTGTAAGTGATTTTAAACTACATCTACATGTTAATACTATAAATTTAATTGTAAACGAGTTTGCAAACATACACTGAATATGCCGTAAAGCCAATAATTATTCTCCGAAATATGCTTGATTTCACGAACCCCTGCTGTTTCAGTAACTACTAAAAAGGTAGTCCCCCGCGCCTTCCCTTATGGAATAAAGCGAACATTTAACGAACCCGAAGCTTTTTGCGTGCGACATTAGACCAATTTCCCAGAATATTTCTAAAACCTCTCGACGACTCAGCTGCTTATCAGTTTAGTTTTGTCCTAGACTTCGCAGAAGAATTACTACAATATTATTAAAATTCTACAATACTCAGCGGGGAGACGATGATGAAGTAAAAGCCGCCTATATGGAACGCCACAGCTATCTTTTGTTCACGAATTTCGTGGGACATGTGAACTTCTCTTTTCAGCGTGTTTACATGTCAAGACATAATATTGACTTGTCTAGCTACCAATGAATATATCAATGTTCCATGTGATATTGTTAAAATAACGTGAACAAGAACATGTTAAGTTCTCAAGACTTTTTTTATATTGATATGTTAAATGACAATGATGACTTGTCTAGCTACTATTTGAATATATCAATGTACCATGTTATATTGTTATTATGTACAAGGAACAAGTGAACTCCTTAAGTATTCATAATAATATGTTAAATGACAATGTTGACTTGTTTAACTATAATTTGAATATGTCAATGGCCATGTGATATTGTAAATATGACGTCTTATTTTGTTAAATTTTTAAGACTTCAAAGGCGAATGAGGCCATCGTCTGACATTGATTCAATTATGGCTGCGTCTATTTATTCCATACGCCTAACTAAGGCTTACTTTTTGTTAAGCCTGTCAATAAACATGCCGGTAGAGCACGAACACATTTATCATCTGAATGACCCAGCTTCTCCTCTGAAGCCTTGGCGACATTCCAGCCGTCCACAACCACAACCGAAACCAAATAGCTAATGCCAAATTTCACACTGGATCAATGCGAGGGTTCGCGATTAATTTCCTGTAGCAATACCAGACAGACTGAAGTTCAAATGCGAGTCTACCCATCCCTCTGCAAATATTACCTGAACATATCCAGAAATCAAGATCGCTACATTTGTCAAAACTGTGTGCCTGTTTATTTATTTATTTGGAGATGGGAGACGAATAACAACGGAAAATTTCCAACATAAACCGTTCTTGGAACTACTGTACAATATTTAATGAATTAAACGAATTTGAATCTGAAGTGGTAAAGGTAAAATTCTTGTTTATTATAGTGTCACCCCTACTGAAAGGGCCAGGCTGATAGAAAACAGTAACCATTCATTTTACTACCTTGCGGCTCACGAAGCGGCCATTTCGGAGAGTCCCACTATAAACATTCATTTTTCAATCAACACTCCCAGTGGGGCTCGAACCTTCGACCTCCCGATCCGAAGGCGGACGCCTTAACTACTAGGCCAACGGTACCGGTTAATTTGGTTGTTAAGCTAGGTGGGAAACGGAAAACTCTGAGCAAAATACCTTGAGCGTCGGTGTACCATCCAGGGTCATACCCATCAAGTAGTTTACCACGAACTTTTACCAACATTGGGTAAGTGTTCAAGCCATGACTGAATTCCGCATATGTATCACTAACTGCAAAAATTGACATTGTTTTACAATTTTTAGAATACACACAGTTAATATATCTAAACCTATGAAAAGTATCGGTCTGAGTGTGTATAACGCCGCGAAGGCCAAATAACTGGATTTTGAAGTGTAAGATTTATCCATCTTCATCACACCGACATAAGCTGAGTTAGAAAATGTTAAAACACAAATGATTATAACATGTCTGGTAAAGGCAAAGTATTTTTTTAATATCGTGTGTCTAATTCGTGATATCATTACATAAAAATAGCTATACAATTTGCTTTTTCTTTCATCATGATCAATTGCTTAAATATATATACATAATGTTATAATGGTTAAAATACAAAATAGCCATATGACTCTAGGGTCTAGGGGACGCTAGTTCAATCCTCGGGCGAGGCGTTATTACTTCGTGAAATTTGATCTCAAATATTGAGTTTATTGATCTGACCACTAACGTGTGTTACAATTGGAGTTAAAATCAAGAAAAACGAACAAACCAACAAACTTACTGTTTGGTGAACCTGCTATCATTAAATGATCTGTGACGTTAAAACAGGGAGTCGGTAATGCCGTAGGTTCCCAACAACGAACTTTGACTTCAGCTTCGAAACTTATTTGATAGTTAATTCCACGCCAATATGGAGACTCACCTATAATACAGTACAATTTTCGATACTTTGTTATACTTCTAGATCTACTGGAAGGGGAAGTTTTAAAGTACCCGTACATGCATTACTTCACGTAAAAGCGGTCTGAGCGTCTTCCTCGCAGTCGTTTACGGATTTGAACCGACTGAGTAAGGATTTGCAATCAATTAAAGTTTTTATTATAATGAACTCCTTGATTAGACACACAACCTAGTCGTATACGAGGGTTGTCCCAAAAGTCCGTGACAAATTTTATAGCCGGTTCATTTTTAACGCCAATAGAAAATAATTCACACATATAACCGTTAAGTTTATTATTTAACATTACAACAAATCATTTACAAAAAAGTTACCCTAGTTACTTAGAAATTTTCGGTATTAACGACATTGGTTTGAGTTGCCGGCGCACGTCAAATAATTTACATTTTGTTATGAATAGGCTAAAATTAATTACGTATATTTCAAATATCTGATGATGTGTCTGCACAATGCCACTTTGACTTCCTCTGCTGCTATGTTTAAATCATCTCTGAAAATTTTAGTTAAATAACTTAAAAAACGAAAAAGATACGAATAAATGAAAATATCTCATATAAAATAGAAAAGTTAAAATGGCGACGTTCGAAGAATTTGCGGTGCAGTGAACATGTCACTCAGGTTTCATGACTATTTCGAGATGACACATGTAACGATTTTCAACAAATATACAAAATATAACAGTTTAGCAACATATTCTGAGCATTTGTGTACAAAAGGCATGAACGGAACCAGAGTTTTGCGCTACAAAAAGCGAAAATAAGGAAAACACTGATAGGAAGACCGATCTTCGTCGCCTATTTCCTACAGCTAAAAACAAGAGTAACGAGACCGGAAGTTCGCGTATAGCAAAAATTAATGTATGCCATCCAAACATTTAACAGACATTAACAACCACATGATTTAAGTCAGAAATTGACGATTTATGGGTACCATTATTACGTTGAAAGCCATTGAGAGTATTTAAGAAAGGCGCCTTATATAGATTTAACGCTGTTTTTGACGTTGGACGTGCGCCGCGATTCAGTTAGTTGCTATGGTGTTTATGGCATATTTTTGTTGTTTGTTGATATTTATCTATGAAAATTTGTGAACATGTTTAAATTATATGGGTTTATAACATATTAAAATATCAAATTCTTACCTGTTTTATTTAGCTTTTAAACAATGTTGTCACAGAATATTGGGACAACCCTCGTATATGGAATACCCGACATTGAAAACAACACATGTTGTCGCAAACGTACAAAGCGGTCAAATGAAAGATACATGGAAGCTCTGACTTATTTGGTGGTCCGTTAACTTAGATGTGTGAAGTTGGCGACCCAGCGCCCCAGCGGCGTGAAGTTGGCAACGGCCAGCGGCCCAGCTGCTGGACCGCTGACCGCCAACTTCACGCCACTAGGCCGCTGGGCCGCCAACTTCACACATCTGTGTAATTATTTTGAGTTTTTATCTTCGTTTCGTTTTATCAAGTATTGCGTTTCTTTTTTCCTTTAATTTTGCCGTTGATGAAAGAATTTCAGTGATTAAATGCCTGTCAAGTTTCTTTCTGTTTAAGTAAATTTCAAAACCAAAATTTCAATGTTGATACAATGGGCACAAAAAATAAAGGCAATTTCGTTACAATTCTTACATTTTTTTGCATAATGAGTGACATACCTGTATAAATAGCCGCACCTTGATCTCCATGGTTTACTTTATTTGGTGCCATGATGCGGACATCGACTTCATTGTAAATATAGATAATGCCGCCGTACATTTCACTTGAATCGTCATCTCTTTCGCCATTACCTACATTTTAATTACATCTACATTGAATATTACCTACAATTTGTTCATTAGCTAAAATTTAAATTCATAATGACAAATTCATAAGCAAGTGGCATAATTTCAAAACATGATACACTATAAAATCGTAAAAATGGAGTAACAACGCTGCTTATGGTTTAAAGTCTAATAATTTTTCGGCGTTTTCAATGTGTGACGAGAATGTCATTATTTAATGATCAACATTATTTTTTGTCCAATCACATTGTAGTATTTTTCAAATTTTTGCTAAGTCTGGTTAATGTGTACTAACTAAATAAAATTTCCTTAATCAGTCGTCTAACCAGTCTAACTAATTTAAACAATGCATTATATCAGGGAGGAGTTAGAGGTGTGGTGTGCACTCTAAATTGTAAAATATCTAGGTTAGGCGGAATTTCAACTCAACACTTTGGCTTCAAAACAATGCTAAAAGGTCAGGTGTTTCTATATGTCAGGATACAATCAAATTTTTATTACATAGATTATACATATGGGGCACGTAGAGACAATGATTACATAGTAACTTTTTGTATCCTTTTAACTCCTAGAAAAATGTCTGTTATAAATTGCTGACTGTTTTAAAATATATATTTTCTAGAAAAAGTAACCAAAACTTTATTTTCTTTCAGTTGATAGGAATGAACTGCATTAACAATCTTTAATATTAAGAATACAATGATTACATTTTTTAGCTGGAAACCTCAATGTTAATTGACCCCTTCACCTGTAAACCTAAATTGACACACAGAAAAATAAAAAGGGGACTTTTTTTTCAAATGAGCAAAACAATAGGGATTTTAAATGTTAGTGAATAACTTGAAGCTTATAACGAATTTGTATCTATTAATACTCTCTAATGTATTTTTCTCACATTATCTATTTATTTTAAAAGGATGTACACATTTCTTTTACTCCATTGTTTTTACCAAATTGCATCATTTTCCTCGCTGTTTTTTTCCCCACATATTTTATAGAAACATAATAGTCTGACTGTAGATAAAGATATAAATTCTGTGACATTTCAGTAAAAAAATGTGCCTGATAATATGTTGACACAGGTGCTCGTCCAGTCCAGGTGCTCATATAAAAAAAATGAAGTTAATAAAAAAAAAAATTAAAAAAAAATCAAAACTAACTTACTAACTAAATAACTATTTTGGGTTGATTGTAAGAAAAAAAATTGAAAAAAAAGAAATTTCCTATATACCATTACTACGAATTCTTTTTTTTTCTTACAATCAACCCAAAATAGTTATTTTAATGTTTTTTCTTTTTATTTTATTTAACTTCAATTTTTTATATGGGCACCAAGACTGGACGAGCACCTGTGTATGTTGAAAGGGCCATTTACTTAGTTTGTCTAAATGTGACATGTTAGAAACTTGACAAGGTGTAGACATCTTGTAGAGCAAAAGGGCGGAGCTACCGGTCATTTAGCGAAATGCCTTGTTTTTGGTTGAAAAAAATAATGTTGATCATTAGAAAGGTTAATATTGAATAATACGCGTTAACAAAAATAATTGGTCGCCTGCCTGTGGCAGGCTTGACCAATTATTTTTGTTAATACGTATTTTTAAACACTAACCTAAACTTATTATGCATGAAACGGAATTACTGAATGTATTCGTCATATACGCACCGTCGTGACATTTGATGATCTGTTTGAAAGCAGAATAAATCATTGTAGATTGGTCTACAATTGGGGACAAATTCATAAGCATTTCAAATACTAATCAAGATAATCGAAATGTGACAGTAGATATGCTCACACAATGTTTTTTGAAAAAAAAAATGTCAATCTGTTGTAAGTGATTAAATATGAATATTTTATGATGAATGTCACTATTTTGAACAATTTATCTGGTATATATAAATAAGTAACATCACATCATGTATCTCACACTTACCTATAACATCCATATATAAAATTCTCTCATGGTTTGTTGTTACATATGATACTAATTACTATGAACAATTACATACATTTTTGTAATTGTGTATGGTATTGCATACCTTCAATTATGGACCATTCTATTTTAATATAAAATCAGCAAAACATGGACATGACGACCATTTAGTATAGTTTACTTCCGCTTTTCGTTTGTATATAATTATTTAAGAATACATGGAGTTTAAATAATTCTTATACATGTACAATATAATTTCATAAAACATAATTGAATATTGTCTAAAAATCGTTTTTTAACAAGAGCCATTCAACCTGTCTTCTATCTGTATATGGCAATTCATGAATCAGAATCTTTTATTTCAGTAATGAATCGTTTACATTAGACAATTTAAACACATATATATTAAGAATTTAGAATCATTTTCATATTTAAAGTTTGAATCATGCTAATGGAGAGAAAAAGTCAAAGTCAAAGCTATTTATTCCGTGTTTTTGCCACCTTCAAAAATCCCATTTCTACGTAAAGTCAATAAAACATGAAGATTTCATGTAATTGGTTTTGAAGTTAAAGGTTCATGTTATCAAATACTTGTATATTTCTAGATATTACCTAATGCTTTGAAGATAAAGTCTTTGTTAGGACCATCCACAGCTTTGACAAGTACCTCGACAAGACTCGGGACAGTCTCTAAATTATGCTGTACCAATATATCTGCTACATTACTCTGTGCCTTTATGTATAACCAATCACTCTCAAATTGAGGTAGGCCTATCGTAATACAGTATGACCTTCCTGTAAAACAACCAATAATTCATTAAAAACTCAAATTTTGTTTCAAAAACAAAATAAAATGCAATTGTAGTATCAAAAGAATTCAATACATTCGTTTCCAGACATTGAAAACACATAGAGAATTTTCCTTGTTGTTATTGTTTAGGTGCTCACGAGACTTTTTTCATATACCTTTATATCAGAAAAATAAGAGAAAAACAGAAAAAGTCGAAGGAAATGAAATAGGTATTTACGGAAGGAATTTATGCAGCATGTGAGAGAAATGTAACTGTTAACTTACCGAAAAGATGAATGTAAACAAGAATAAACGCTAGCAACAACATTTCTTCCACTAGAACACAAGCTTTTTTGAAAATCTGATATTGGACAAATGGTTATATAAATCCTTTACGTTATTTTAAAGGTAGTCAACTCAATTACCAACATAAGCCATATGTTACCCAAATACAGATAAATATCCATTAATTAATGCTTCTCGATAAAAGATGTTATCTGGAAGTTTACCAATTGGGTGTCACACCGGTAAGGATTTAGACCCAACCAAAACTTTATTTCACATTTTGATGTGCCCCGACTATAAGTCATCACTAATTTTATTGGTAACATTTAAAGTGTATTTAATGCATCTTGTAGTTTTTGGGTGTTTAGTTGTTTTAAGATGAACTATTCGCCAGCAGAAAGTGGACAAATGTTAAATTTCGGGTCTCATTTGCCTTTGTTAATGTTGATGTTGTAGAAGTCAGTGTATAATATTAATTTATCATGAATAGCAGAATCCAGAATTAAGCCTCCAATATCATTGCTTAGATCATAGATTATGAAATTTGACAAGACCGAGACCGGGATACAAAAACAACTTGTTATCGCTAAATCTACAAAATTGAAACTGTAAAAATTTGTTTGTACCCCGCGATTAGCCGAGAAAATTCCAGAGTTCCAGAGTATTTCTATATCTTTTGAAATCAGCTATAGTCTCTGCTTAAACTTTTACAGAGTACCAAGCTTTGAAAAACAATGTTCGTGAAGTTGGCAGCCTAGCAGCCTAGCAGCCCAGCAGCCTGAAGTTGGCAGCCTAGCAGCCTAGCAGCCTGGCAGCCTAACAGCCTAGCAGCCTGGCAGCCTAGCAGCCTAAAGAAAACTTAGGACAATACAAACATGTAAACCGTCGGAAATGAGTCGGTAGCACATACGTAGACTATTCCACGTCTTTTTTCAGTATCGCGAACTTTATTTTTTTAAATATTGAACTTTGTTTGTTTTTGTTTTTTTTTTTTTTTTGACACTTCGAAATTTGTGAAGTTAGCAGCCTAACAGCCTGGCAGCCTAGCAGCCTAAAGTAAACTAAGAATAGTACAAACATGAAATCGTCGGATATGAATCGGAAGCACATACTTAGACTATTCCACGTCTTTTTTCAGTATCGCGAACTTTTATTTTTTTAAATATTGAACTTTGTTTTTTTTTTGTTTTTTTTTTTGACACTTCGAAATTTGTGAAGTTAGCAGCCTAGCAGCCTGGCAGCCTAGCAGCCTAAAGAAAACTAAGGACAATACAAACATGTAAACCGTCGGAAATGAGTCGGTAGCACATACTTAGACTATTCTACGTCTTTTTTCAGTATCGCGAACTTTATTTTTTTTTTAATATTGAACTTTGTTTTTTTTTTACTCTTCGAAATTTGTAAAGTTAGCAGCCTAGCAGCCTGGCAGCCTAGCAGCCTGGCAGCCTAGCAGCCTAGCAGCCTAAAGAAAACTAAGGATAATACAAACGAAATGAGTCGGTAGCACCTACTTAGATCATTCCACGTTTTATTCCAGTATCGCGATCTTTATTTTTTTAAATATTGAATTTTATTTTATTTTTCATTCTGACGCTTCGAAATTTGCGGGATTAAACATGTTTATCACACACCCGTGCCGATTTTGCGACTCCGTAAATATGGTATTGCACGGCCGTGCATATATTTTGACGTGACGTCATTAGCGTTATACAAACATAGTGTAAAGACGCGCTAAGGTAAGCGTTATACTATAGGCGCGTCAATGAAAAATGACTCTATTTATTTATTCATTTTACTTTTAACGGTCTTTATTTTGGGTATATGATAAATAGAATATTAAATGAGTGTAAGTTCATCACTGAATTTATTGCATTCGTTGAATAAAATAATATTATGCTCGCCAGAGGCTCGCATAATATAATTTTATTCAACTTGTGCAATAAATTCAGTATTGAACTTACACTCATTCAATATCCTCTATTTATCACACACCCGTGCCGATTTTGCGACTCCGTAAATATGGTATTGCACGGCCGTGCATATATTTTGACGTGACGTTATAAGCGTTATACAAATATATAGAGGATATTCAAGTTTTTTCTATAAATACCTGATTTATTTTCATCGAGTGGTATGAAAATAAATATTTCATGAGTGGCGGTAGCCACGAGTGAAATATGGTAATTTTCATGCCACAAGATGAAAATAAATCCTGTATTTATAGAAAAAACTTGAATTTTCTGTTTATTATATACATTTTTCTCTTTTTTGACATTAAAATTTAAAAGACTTTCCCTTATATTTTGTGTACTGGCAGAATTTAAAAGAAAGTAGTCCGGCAAGACACCAGTGAAAATACGGAAAATATGTTTCACTGCAGTGAAAAATAATTTTTTACAGTGAAAATACAGAAAATGAAAATACGCATTTTATTTCATCAATATTTCTCAATATTTCATTTATAAGTATATAATAAAATGTAAATAAGCGTTAAACTATAGGCGCGTCAATGAAAAATGACTCTTATTTCACTTTAAACGGTCTTTATTTTGGGTATGTGATAAATAGAATATTAAATTACTGAATTTATTGCACTCGATGAATAAAATAATATTATGCTCGCCAGAGGCTCGCATAATATAATTTTATTCAACTCGTGCAGTAAATTCAGTATTGAACTTACACTCATTCAATATCCTCTATTTTCGAATAACGTAGGAAGTAGTCTTTATCTTAACATTTTCGCGGCTAATAATGTCGCTGTCTATGGACAATAAGCGACGTCATGTGACTTATTGATGATATGCTATTTTGTATGTATATGTTTATAATGAAGTTGACGATGTTCAACGCATATTTATTTTAGGTCTGTAAAGATAAATCGGTTTAAACGAACACATTAATGAACATAAAGATTATCTGAACTTAAGAACAATACCCATTTGATCAATAGCCGCGATACTGAAAAAAGACGTGGAATAGTCTAAGTATGTGCTACCGACTCATTTCCGACGGTTTTCATGTTTGTATTATCCTTTGTTTTCTTTAGGCTGCTAGGCTGCTAGGCTGCCAGGCTGCTAACTTCACAAATTTCGAAGAGTAAAAAAAACAAAGTTCTATATTAAAAAAAAATAAAGTTCGCGATACTGAAAAAAAGACGTAGAATAGTCTAAGAATGTGCTACCGACTCATTTCCGACTTTTACATGTTTGTACTGTCCTAAGTTTTCTTTAGGCTGCTAGGCTGCCAGGCTGCTAGGCTGCTAACTTCACAAATTTCGAAGTGTAAAAAAAAACAAAAAAACAAACAAAGTTCAATATTTAAAAAAAATAAAGTTCGCGATACTGAAAAAAGACGTGGAATAGTCTAAGTATGTGCTACCGACTCATTTCCGACGGTTTACATGTTTGTATTTTCCTTAGTTTTCTTTAGGCTGCTAGGCTGCTAGGCTGCCAGGCTGCTAGGCTGCTAGGCTGCTAACTTCACAAATTTCGAAGCGTCAAAATAAAAAAAAAACAAAGTTCAATATTTAAAAAAATAAAGATCGCGATACTGAAATAAGACGTGCAATGGTCTAAGTATGTGCTTCCGATTCATATCCGACGATTTCATGTTTGTACTATTCTTAGTTTTCTTTAGGCTGCTAGGCTGCCAGGCTGCTAGGCTGCTAGGCTGCTAGGCTGCCAACTTCAGGCTGCTGGGCTGCTAGGCTGCTAGGCTGCCAACTTCAAAAAACAAAAAAAACACACAAAGTTCAATATTTAAAAAAATAAAGTTCGCGATACTGAAAAAAGACGTGGAATAGTCTAAGTATGTGCTACCGACTCATTTCCGACGGTTTACATGTTTGTATTTTCCTTAGTTTTCTTTAGGCTGCTAGGCTGCTAGGCTGCCAGGCTGCTAGGCTGCTAACTTCACAAATTTCGAAGCGTCAAAATAAAAAAAAAACAAAGTTCAATATTTAAAAAAATAAAGATCGCGATACTGAAATAAGACGTGCAATGGTCTAAGTATGTGCTTCCGATTCATATCCGACGATTTCATGTTTGTACTATTCTTAGTTTTCTTTAGGCTGCTAGGCTGCCAGGCTGCTAGGCTGCTAGGCTGCCAGGCTGCTAGGCTGCTAGGCTGCCAACTTCAGGCTGCTGGGCTGCTAGGCTGCTAGGCTGCCAACTTCAAAGTTCAATATTTAAAAAAATAAAGTTCGCGATACTGAAAAAAGACGTGGAATAGTCTAAGTATGTGCTACCGACTCATTTCCGACGGTTTACATGTTTGTATTTTCCTTAGTTTTCTTTAGGCTGCTAGGCTGCTAGGCTGCCAGGCTGCTAGGCTGCTAGGCTGCTAACTTCACAAATTTCGAAGCGTCAAAATAAAAAAAAAACAAAGTTCAATATTTAAAAAAATAAAGATCGCGATACTGAAATAAGACGTGCAATGGTCTAAGTATGTGCTTCCGATTCATATCCGACGATTTCATGTTTGTACTATTCTTAGTTTTCTTTAGGCTGCTAGGCTGCCAGGCTGCTAGGCTGCTAGGCTGCCAGGCTGCTAGGCTGCTAGGCTGCCAACTTCAGGCTGCTGGGCTGCTAGGCTGCTAGGCTGCCAACTTCACGAACATTGAAAAACACTGTTAAACGGAAAGTTCATGAGAAGAAACGAAACTCTGCAGGGGCTCATGTCATACCAGCATAGAGGCACTGTGTTTCAGGGAGAGAATATTTGCCTGTTTTGGTCTTTATGTAAAGGGAATCGCTCAATGAAAGATGCGTGTTACAATGCTGTTTATATTCTAGGAAGATTATACTCATATACAGATATAGAGTGTTGTAACAAATGTTATGACTTGTCTAATAATCTTACTCTCCATAAGATATTTTATTGTGCTGTTAACCATACAACTGGATGTGATATGTGGTTATATATTTTGAATTGTAACGGAATAAATGCCTATCTAGACTATATTCTACAAGATGAGAGAAACCAACTGTGCGATATTTTGTCGGGTTTTAGAGATTATAACTCAGCGTTTGATTATAATGCCCGGCTATGTTCATGTCTAACATATTTGTTTAGGCTCTGTAAGTGATACATATATTTCAAGGTAAGCATTGTCTTAACTTTAGAGTTTAGGGAAAGATATCGCGATATTA